TCGTATATCCGGAATTGACAGTTTAATTTTCAGTCGACTACAGTTATTATATCATTTTAAGGTGCTATATCTTACGCCATCTCCAAATTCGTTTGCCCATTGATAACATATGGGTCTATATGCCGATCTAACTATTTCTTCATCTGAAATCAGCCGTCTGCTATTGCTCTTGGTTATTTAATCATTTTCTTGTCTGCCGAAATCTGCCCTCTACCTGCGCACAGAAATAGACATCCTTCGCCCAGTAACAAATGTGCCACAAGCGCCTACATTTCTTCATTTCCGCTAAACAATATTTCAGCGCCAGCCATGCATTTGAAAACCATCCTACTCCGGTGATATGTTGGCAGTTATCACTCATCTAAATAGGTTATCAGCCCAGACGTTGGGGAAACGTTTTGGCTAGTAGGGCATTTATGTTCAAACCAGAAACTCCCGATAGTCGCGAAACCATTGGTCGTGGGAACGTTTGTTTTAACTGGTAGTTTACTTCTGTTAAATGAAATATCCCCTCAATCGCGACAAACCTCATGGTTTCACTGACAAGGTTAACAATTTGTTCAAAACAATCGTCCCCCCGATCCCGACTTGCTCGCTAAAGGTTTCGTTTCACTAACAGTGTAATAAGATACAACGAATATCATCCAATTTCGATTTGCATTAATATAGACACAGCTGCAGCATATTTCAGTGACACCAATCAATATACGTACAAGGAACAGTGGCTGTGTAAATAACTTTGATGCCAATACGTTTGAAGATTTCTTTGATCCAGTTTGTTTTAAAGATGTACCACATGATGTGAGCTATTTGAATCCGACATTAACATGAAATGTCATAGACGGGTATCAGAAGAAGTTGCATGATAATCGGCAGTAGACGTCCCGATAGCTCAAAGTTATTGTTGCCATCGAGACAAGCGGGTTGTCGATATTATACCCAAGTGTCAATATAAGACCCTTGTGTCAATTTTAGACCTTAGTGTCGATGTTAGACCCTACTGTCGATTTAGACTCATGTGTCCATATTAGATTCTTGTGTCGATATTAGACCATAAAGCGTCGATATTAGACCCTCGCGCTTATTTTAGACCTTAGTCCCGTACCCATGAAGATGTAGCGTCGTAACGTTATATCGAGTTAAAGGAGTTCCACTTAACGAGGTTTCACTGTATAATATAAGTTTGGACCTGGACAACATGAATGAACTCAGTGCGCATGACCGTACAGAAAGCAACATCCGTCGTGGTGCATCCTGTAGTAATATAACGTGATGTCCTCTGGCATAATACAGGTTGTTGAATGTAAAAACGTTAAAACTTCTGAGTTTTCCTGTACTTAATTCTTAAGTCTGAATTCGATGTATAATATAAGTCGGATCGTGTTATTTGAGCAGTGTGGCATTAACACATCCACTGTGCCATTCGGAGATATAACTGTTTGCCTACACAAAAGACGTGGTGGAAATGGTAAACTCTCAAGATATATTTAAATGAAACTATTTTTATGAAAAGAAAAGTGCTGTCTGCAAACCTTTTGAATATGAATACATACTTTTCTTCACCGATCAGACACTCAATATCTTAAATTAATCTCAAGATTGCTTCGCGTCGTTATGCAGACAGTTTCAATTTACACTGCCAGTTTTCAAGAACAAACTCTACTACATGATGAACGCCTATTCGCGTTCGATCACAACATATGACGATTCCATATAACATGAGTATCGACTCCTCGTGGTTGCTTTGTACAATATTGTTGCAATCAATGCACCACCACAACTGTGTGGGGCCTTGAACCCTAGAATCTTCTTTTAGACGTCCCTAGAGGGGGCACATCCATTTCACTGTGCGTTTGTGTTGGCAGGCCTTGAGTGATCACAGCTCCAGACAGGGTAAACAACGCGCACAGAGCGATTCCTCAGCACAGCAGATGAAAATTGTGTTATATGACAACTGAACTGTGCAGAACGTCAGGTTTTATGAAAGATCATATTGTGAAAGGATTGTTTTGGAGTGCTGCTTGTGGAGTGTTGGGCAGATAGTGGTGTTGGTTGTTCAAGCTTTAGGTCGCTGTGCCACCTGTTTTCCTGAAGGGGGCAGTAGCCAGATGGTTAATGCGATGGCTCGCCATGTCAAAGATCCGGGTTCGGTTCCCTATTGGGTACAATGTGTCAAACTTATTCTGGTGTCACATCACCGTCACATTGCAAGAATATTGACAAAAGTAAATGTGAGAGTGAGTGAGGGAGGGAATTTTTTTTTATTTCAGCCATATACATGTATACGAAATAAAACATCAACAGTAGCCTTTACACATTGCATCCACTTGCCCCAAAAATGAGGTCTGTACTCGTAAAAACAAAAAATTCCAATTTCAAATATATTTTTCTTCAAATTTTACTTTGTTTTTAAGAAAAATAGATTTTACTAACAGTGTTATAAATAATTTACTATATTGATGGCGACAGTAATCTTTTTATAATTTGACTTATTTCTGTTCGGCTGCTTTTACAGTTTTACATTTTTCACATTTCTATTTTGGGGAATCGGCGTATTCATAAACCAAGTTTAAAACAGGTCTGGCCTAAACTGTCTCCAGGGCCATTTAACAGGGTCAAAACCTAAACAGATCCCAACGGAATATCTTCTTCCATACGAGTGTGTCTTAGCAGGGTGTATCTATTGACTGCGGTGATATGATGCCAACAACAACAGGAAGATTATTAACGAATCAATATCCGCGATTCCTTCTCCTGGTGTGCCATGTCTCAATATTCATGTATACACGATTTGCCATATCGGAAAAGGTCATTCTGTGCGGTTGAAGGTTGACGTTGATTTAATAGAATATTCATAATTCTTGATATGCTCTATTCTGAGTATTGATGTATCAATACCATAAAACTAACGGCACCAATTTCACAATCTATTGATCGCATGTATTTGTCTTTAACTTAGTTTAAGGGCAGGTAGAAGCTGAACTACGGAAGCGAATAAAAAAGTGTGGTTTTAATTTGTTAAATACGTCGACTGGCGAGAACAACTTAATTCTTGAAGAGAAGTTTGAAGCTGAACTGAAACATATATGCAAAGTAAAGCTATGTGCAGATCTGTGACACCATCAGGTGAAAATACGCTTGTTCTGGTTCTTATATGTAAAACATTTGCTAGTCCGAACTCACGTCTACTCTTATATCTAGGTTGTACGGCCGGTATTATCTTAAAACCTGTATGGTTTCATGACGGTTCCCATCAGTTTAAGGAGGTGTCGCTGTACAATGACATCATTCTTTTAAAACCCCAAGATATAGTTGTTCATTGTCCCCAGTCGACACATTTAATATATCTAAAAAGCAATTCCTGTCAGAAAATTCCTAATAGTTTATTAAACGTGGAGCATTTGCAATGACGTCATAAGTTGAGTGGCGGGATATCACAATGGCGGATTTTGTCAGACATGTCGATCTTGGATTTCGTTATGAATGTGGTGACAACGGAAACAATGACAGTGTAACTATCGCCCATTGATGTCCTGCCGTGCACGTAGGTCCATTGATGTGGCATCACATTAAGAGGTTCAGATCTCATATCGATTAGATATGGCATTTGACTGGGCCAATCGCAAGACTATTTACCCAACAAAGCTTTTAGATATTGAACTGTGTTTAAGATGTCATTTGCTCCATTGGAGTGAAAACGACAAAGCCTGTGATGCAACTGTAGTTACTGGATTGTTCCAAGTTTGGGCTGCTATTTGCATGGTTGAAAATGACTTGATTTACAATTCCAGATTTAGAAATAATTGCGCCATGTCGTTTGATACATTATGATCGTCTTTCCTTGCGGCAGTTATTGACATATTAATTCGAGGAATCGTGTTTATGAGATAATTATCCTGGTATGAAATATCCAACCTCAGGTATGTAATTTAGGAGTTAGTATAATGTTTTGTTTTTCTAGTGCCGGGGTTTGCCGTACCTGTCATGTATCTATTAACGTCCCGGAACAGTTTATCATAATGCATTTGATGAATTAAACAAAGAACGCGTTTTCCAAATGTTATACTGTATTTTAAATAGAAATATTTGTAAAGGGAATATGGCTTCACGATCTTCTTCAAACCTGTGTGGTGAAATAGCATTTTTGAGGATGACATGAACAAAGATGGCCGGGAGGCGATTCACTGCACAGATATTCGTCCGTAAGTCGTGACATTCTGCGCTAATCGTGGCATTCGTGACCAACTGGTGTTATTCCGAGACAAGCCGAATAGCGACTCGTGCTTCTCTCGTGGCCGTTTTTGCGACTGGGTTTCGTCTGGGCATAGCAAAAGGAATTGTCAACTCGTTGCGTAATTATTCACGTATGTTTCCCCCATATATCATATATATTCCAGGTGCTATTGAAAACATATCAGGACTTACATTATTATACAGTATAGTTGAATACACTTAAATGTATCTTGGGTATATTTTTTAAATTTAAGATATAAATCAAAAATTATTCCTGAGGGATTCTTTGACCGAAGTACTTTAAGGAGTATATATATTGTGGAACGTCCTTTACTCGAACTTCACGAACTGATACATCTCTTTAAGAAAACTTAACCTGGGAAGGTAGAATCCTTATCGGCTCCATGATACAATATCGGCACTCCGCTTGTGTCGAACTATGGATAACTTGATCTATTTTTCAGGGTACGGGACTTCCGGTTTAGATTTATATAGTTAAAGAAGAGTAATCACACTAAAATACTGTTTCTTTGGACTCATTAAACTGATGAAAGTATGAGTGAATGAGTTAGTGAATATGATTTTACGCCGCTTTTAGCAATATTCCAGCAATATCACGGCGGGGGCCACCAGAAATGGGCTTCACACATTGTACCCATGTCGGGAATCGAACCCGGGTCTTCGGCGTGACGAGCGAATGCTTTAACCACTAGGCTACCCGACCGCCCCTGATGAAAGTATGAAGTGTCTTTTCATTCTGTTTTCAGTCAACAAACGCAGCCCTAAACGAAAGTGCCAGACCAAACGAAGCGTGTCCTACCCACCGATGTTCCCCACTATAATTGAGAAGGTTGAGGAGGAGGAGAAGGAGGGCAAGGAGACAGCCCGCTCTCCCCCATCACCCCTCACACAGTTGTATGATGGACTCACCCTTCAGACGCGGCACACGTGGCCAAAGTTTCTCGGAGACTGGGCTTACGCCGACAATGCGCATCGTAATGGAGGTGCGTATCTTTCGTTTGTGGGCATGGATTTTCTTTTGTTCATTGATATGGTTGTGAGATTGTTCAGATTAATTTTCAAATTGTTATTCTACGATTTTTCTTACTATAGAGTGTTTCAATTAAAAACTTATTTTTATCTCAGAAGATTTGGATTTGAGTAAATGATTAGATTTCAATATTAGGAAGTAAAAACAAAATGCGAAATGTGCCTAACAAAACCTTTTAGGCCATTCTTCATCTATTCCAATGAACAACTCATATAATAACATGTCGTGGACGAGGCAAGTGATTCTGTTACATAGTCAAATTGCTTATTAATTAGTTCAGTGATATATACATAACGTTAAAAGGGTTTAAGTCGCAAAATAACAACCTTCTTTGTGGTATTTGCTATCCTTTACATTTCCAACCAAAGCCCTTTGGTATTTCATTTGTATTGAACTTCAAAGCAAATGTGAAACAAGCTTTATCAACTTACATCCTACTAAAATGACCATCTGAAATGTACACTGATTAACATCGCTCAGGGCCTAGGGAAACTGATACATGTTTGTCAAAATGAAACGGGAAAAAATCCACAAACAGTGGAAAGGACAAATACAACAGCCTTGTGACATTGTTAGGATGGATGACTGAAACTTGAATACCAGTGAATGCTATACAGTGAAAAGTCGTCAACTGTGACTTCGACAACGTGTCGAGTTATCAGTAGCTCGAGTAGCGATTGTAGACCCAAGCCCCGGTAAAGATTATATGTTATATCGCCTTAAAGGAAGTCATCGAGAGCACCAGCCAAATGCTGAAAGACCTAAAGTCACACGTGACCTAACAATACCACAAGCAATTCCCTCCCTCTACACGACGTAATATATCTACCAGATAGGCCATATTTGATGCCAAAATTTAGCACGCTGATAAAACTTCCATGCCAGAAAATAATTATTTTCGATTATCTCCCGAAATAGATCCATAAAGGCGAAATCGCGGTGAAAAGTATATTTATGGGTCAGTGAAGTTAAGCCTCGCTGTGGGATTAAGCTGAGGCTAGATTCTGCGGTCGATGGCCACCTTTAAGTATGTCCCTTCTATGTCCCATCTACTCACCAATCAGATTCGACTTCTCATATCTCTTGCATTTGCTGCAAACAAAGTGGCGGTGTCCAGTTTAAACGATCTGATTGAATAATAAAGATTTTTATTTAAATAGTGCATCATATCACTTGAGCACCTTGATTATAAACATGAAAAATTGGTCTGTCGACGCCCAATTGACGGCACACATGTTCTGCATATCCTGCCATCGAAAAACGAATTCGGCAAGGCGGTTGCCATGTTGTAATGAACCGGGTGTCGATTTCGTTACGGGATTTTGATTTAACTGTGCATAGACTCGTTAGTCCCGCCAAAATATAACGCAATAATTCCAGCCTAGGTCGACAAGAGAGGAAGTCAGTTAGCTCCCTTGCCTCGGGAAGATGCCTTTAAGCGTTATTTCGGGTTAAAACAGTCCTAGTTAATGAAGTAGTATTACCCATATAGTACTTTCTAAAGGGGTAACATACAACAGTTTTTTGTGTCATATAACCTTCGTGTAATTTGATTAGCATATTTAGGTATATAGGAAGATAAGACCTACCTACAGCACAATATATTATAATTATAGCGGATTTATGTTATTTATAACACTGAACGGTATAACTATTCAACGATCTAAGCAATCGACATTACACCGGTTTGTGGTAATTGTATTATTGTTGTATTGTTGTATATATTTTTTCACACCCACGCTCGTGCACAGTTTGGTTTCACTGTGGAATCTTTGCTGTTTTGTGTGACATTCTGTGGCCTTGTCTTCTTATCTCTCCTGTCCATGTTTGATCTTCACTCACCTTGACCTTTCAGGGTGCGTGGTTCCAATTCAGTGCTCATTTTAAATATTTGTAAGTTTTTTTCGTTTCGAGCCATTTGCTTTAGTTTGCAGACTTGCATAATGTCATGTGCAGCACACACAGAGAGTGAGAACCCCTTTAACTACACCGCACAGTGCGCATTTGCTTTGGTGTAGTAAAACCAGTGTTATCACTTTTAAACAACCAGGAAATATACGGTTTTTCATGTCAATAGACAATATTAATGTATTTAATGTAATATTGTTTGGTCGTTTGTACATTAAGACGACAAGTTGTAATGCACAAATCGGCAGATATTTATTTTGATGTAAAACATCAACGAGGTAAAAAATCATTTTTTTATGAAATATACACAGAATTTGAAGACAGAATGGTATCTGATTATGAAGATTTGTGAACATGTTAATTTTACAGAAACTAGAAAACTTTAAATATTTTTCTGATACAAAATGAAAATGCGTGTTAAACTGCACTACTGCAGTGAAGCCGAATGTTTGATTTAAATGCATAGTTTCTAGACTGTATTTACAACGAAATACTAGGTTTCATTCTTTGTTTACACTGGTCACTGTGTTTGCACAATAGAAAAGTGCACAAATAGATGGGGAAGGGTTTTTGAACAAGTGCATGAAAATTTCCCTTTTTTCACTTTCTTCTATACAGCTCAACATTTCATAGGGTTAAGGACTGTTAGTTAGCCTTCGGAAATGGGATTATGCAAGTCATCATGGAACTAATGGTTCAGATCAGTCAGTGTTGTCTTATTTATGTTGCCATGCAACAGAGCGAAGACGGGCTTATTAATTTTATTGGCTTATATCCTTTCCGTAATCCTGTTAGTGTCGTTATTATTGCATGGTTGCTGATGTTTAAGTTGACCTACTTGTACAGTATTTTGGTTTTCCTCTTCGAAGGATCTCACTAACAATGCTTTTGTTTATACTAACACAAATAATATAATATAACTTAATTTCGGTGACAGCAACAGTTCCCGTCGTCCGTTTTATTTTTTGGATTTGATTTAAACATATTTTATTGCGACAAATCAAATGGATTAGGCACAAGTGACACACTCCTACATATCTTTCGTTACATTGTGGGTGCGGTGGGGTAGCCTAGTGGTTAAAGCGTGCGCTCGTCAAGCCGAAAACCCGGGTTCGATGGGTGCAATGTGTGAAGCCCATTTCTGGTGTCTCCCGCAGTGATATTGCTGGAATATTGCAAAAAGCGGCGTACAACACTACTCACTCATTACATTGTGATATGTGAATAATGATAGTGCAGAATATAAGTAGTGTGCATATGCAAGTAATGAGAATAACACACGTACGCATACATATACCTACGTACACATGAACACATGTGACATTGGACATGTGACATTGGATGAATCTCAACCTACACCCTGACTAGAGATAGTTGACATTGGATGAATCTCCACCGACACCCTGACTAGAGATAGTTGACATTGGATGAAACTCCACCTACACCCTGACGAGAGATAGTTGACATTGGATGAATCTCCACCTACACCCTGACTAGAGATAGTTGACATTGGACGAAACTCCACCTACACCCTGACTAGAGATAGTTGACATTGGATGAAACTCCACCTACACACAGACAAGAGATAGTTGACATTGGATGAATCTCCACCTACACCCTGACTAGAGATAGTTGACATTGGACGAAACTCCACCTACACACAGAGAAGAGATAGTTGACATTGGATGAATCTCCACCTACACACAGAGAAGAGATAGTTGACATTGGATGAATCTCCACCTACACCCTGACGAGAGATAGTTGACATTGGACGAAACTCCACCTACACACAGAGAAGAGATAGTTGACATTGGATGAATCTCCACCTACACCCTGACTAGAGATAGTTGACATTGGATGAATCTCCACCTACACCCTGACTAGAGATAGTTGACATTGGACGAAACTCCACCTACACACAGAGAAGAGATAGTTGACATTGGATGAATCTCCACCTACACACAGAGAAGAGATAGTTGACATTGGATGAATCTCCACCTACACCCTGACTAGAGATAGTTGACATTGGATGAATCTCCACCTACACACAGACAAGAGATAGTTGACATTGGATGAATCTCCACCTACACACAGAGAAGAGATAGTTGACATTGGATGAATCTCCACCTACACCCTGACTAGAGATAGTTGACATTGGACGAAACTCCACCTACACACAGAGAAGAGATAGTTGACATTGGATGAATCTCCACCTACACACAGAGAAGAGATAGTTGACATTGGATGAATCTCCACCTACACCCTGACTAGAAATAGTTGACATTGGATGAATCTCCACCTACACACAGACAAGAGATAGTTGACATTGGATGAATCTCCACCTACACACAGAGAAGAGATAGTTGACATTGGACGAAACTCCACCTACACACAGAGAAGAGATAGTTGACATTGGATGAATCTCCACCTACACACAGAGAAGAGATAGTTGACATTGGATGAATCTCCACCTACACCCTGACTAGAGATAGTTGACATTGGATGAATCTCCACCTACACACAGACAAGAGATAGTTGACATTGGATGAATCTCCACCTACACACAGAGAAGAGATAGTTGACATTGGATGAATCTCCACCTACACACAGACAAGAGATAGTTGACATTGGACGAAACTCCACCTACACACAGAGAAGAGATAGTTGACATTGGATGAATCTCCACCTACACACAGAGAAGAGATAGTTGACATTGGATGAATCTCCACCTACACCCTGACTAGAGATAGTTGACATTGGATGAATCTCCACCTACACACAGACAAGAGATAGTTGACATTGGATGAATCTCCACCTACACACAGAGAAGAGATAGTTGACATTGGATGAATCTCCACCTAAACCCTGACTAGAGATAGTTGACATTGGATGAATCTCCACCTACACACAGACAAGAGATAGTTGACATTGGATGAATCTCCACCTACACCCTGACTAGAGATAGTTGACATTGGATGAATCTCCACCTACACACAGACAAGAGATAGTTGACATTGGATGAATCTCCACCTACACCCTGACTAGAGATAGTTGACATTGGATGAATCACCACCTACAACCTGACTAGAGATAGTTGACATTGGATGAATCACCTACACCCAGACTAGAGATAGTTGACATTGGATGACATTTAGGCTCAGTTACTAAGAGTGAATTTACTTCACTAAAGTAGGATCACGACAGTCACTGTGCATTTATTCGTTGACAGAATTTGGCACCATGTCAAGATTATTTTATGATCTGTGCTTTCGATGTATAAATAATGTTCAGTTTGTTTGCCTGTTACTGTAATACTCTTCATGAAATGCATCACTCTTGAAGTCCTTCTTTGACTGTTGCTAAACATTTCCCCAATCACAACGATCTTATGATTTGAAGTTACCTAATCATTCTCATTAAATTTGATTCATTCGATGACAATTCTAATCATCACAGTTGCCGCATTATTCTCGGCATTGTTATCTTTAGAAGTCGTCATTGTCGTCACATAATAATCGTTACGATTGGTCAACTACAGACGGCCCACCCTATCATCCCCCGCTCCACTTCATAGGAACGGAGTTCGTCCGTCCGTCCGTCCGTTCATCTGCTTCTCAAAGGACACAAATTTTTCGCGAAAAACTGTTTAAGTCAGTGAAATGGAATTTTACACACAGATGTTACTGGTCATAATCTCAAATGAGTTCGGAAATTGTTGTCGTAAATTCATTTTTGACAGAGTTTTGGACCTTGCTTCGTGCTTTTCAACCTAGTACATAGTGTGTGCAAAGGGAAACTACTGAAGTTGCATGCTTATGTAAGAGACACTTGTCAAGAATGATTTCGAAAATTGGTCCCGTTAATTATTTCTTTACAGAGTTACGGCCCTTGATCAATGTTATTTTACTTTGTACATAGTGTTTGCAGTGGGGACAAGTCTTCTCAGAAACTACTGACGTTGCATGAATGAAAGTTTGCATGCTTATCTAAGAGATATTTGTCAAGACTGAGTTCGAATATTGGTCCCGTCAATATTATTTTAACAGAGTTACAGCCCGTGATCTATGTTATTTTACTTTGTGCATAGTGTTTGCAGTGGGGAAACTACTGAAATTAGCTTAACTAAGAGATACTTATCAAGACTAAGTTATATTTTCCAGAGAAGGGGCCTTTTGTGTGTATTAATTTAACATTTAAGCGACCCAAGTGCCTGCCCCGTCCTAAGGCTTTGTAGGAGTTTATAATTCATATTCACTACTACAGTAAACTACGGTTATAACTAACTTAAAGGGACTGCTAATTTTAGTTCGTTATAACCGTAGTTCGTTATAAGCATATATACAGCATAACTACAGCAAATAGTCGGGACCAAAAAAGTAAGTTCGTTATATCCGTCAGTTCGTTATAAGCGTGTTCGTTATAACCGTATTTTACTGTATATGAACAAAGGCCCCATGGCGGGGTATAGTTGTAACGCTGTTTTCTTGTTTTTGTTTATGTGTTCATTACGATTTATCGTTTATACAAGGCCATCTTGTGTTTATTACGATGTATCACTTATACAAGGTCACCTTGTGTTTATTACGGTTTATCATTTATACAAGGTCACCTTGTGTTTATTACGATTTATCATTTATACAAGGTCACCTTGTGTTTATTACGATGTATCACTTATACACGGTCACCTTGTGTTTATTACGATTTATCATTTATACAAGGTCACCTTGTGTTTATTACGATGTATCACTTATACACGGTCACCTTGTGTTTATTACGGTTCATCAATTATATAAGGCCACCTTGTGTTTATTATGAGATATCTTTTATACAAGGTCACTCTGTGTTTATTACCACTTCATACAATGCCACCGTATGTTTATAACGATTTATCGTTAATATATCGTTATGTTTATAACGATTTATCGTTAATATATCGTTATGTTTGATCTCATTCATCCTTTTAATAAGGCCCTACATAAACATGATCGATAATGATATTGTTAGTAACATAACCAGTGAAATGAATGTTGTGTCATCATACTGACTGACACATCAGTTGCCACGGCTCACATAAACTGAGGTTGTTGAAGAGATGCTTCCCTTGCAGACAGGGATGAAGAGCCCACGGATGTTCCCATATCAGTCACAACATCTGGCTACTTTCTGCTTGGCTCGAGCTGTTGTTATTCTAATATTTTATCGATTTGTTTTAAACTTAAAGTCATGAAAACGTGCTTCTGTGTTTTAGTTGCATAGTTTGCTTTTTAAAACTGTTTCGGGAACGAGACAAATCGAAGGCTTGGTTTTTTTTATTTGTCTAGAGCTACCGAGCATTTGATCATGAGCTTACCCAGTCGTTAACCAGTAGAAAAAGAGGCCGCTCTACTGACATGGTTTTTACATATGCAAAATGAAGAATTACTGTAATTAATTAAACTGACCTTAAGTCTATTGTGTATATATTGACAGTAAACACAGCCTAACTGTTTCAATGAACAGCACCAATCGTGAATTCATCATGTCAGTGCTTAACAATACTACTAATTTCGTATGGAAATTTTTTAAAACAAAATCATAGCCAGAATCAAGAAAACACTTGTGTCGAAATTTGCAATCTGAACACGAGAGCTTTGCTATTTTAAATATACTGTCAACCATCGAGGATCGTATTTTGTTTTCAACAATAATTTAATTTGTGTTCTACTTACAGGGTCTTTTGGAAGCGAATCCGACTCCGAGGTCGGCGACGGCCATTCGCTTGAAAGCATAGAACATGACGACGATGTCTTCTCGGAGGAGAGCAGTGAGAAGTCAAGTGAAGATGGACCGGGTAGTGCTTCATTTTACGTTAGCAGTGAGGAGGCTTCCCCGGAATCTCCCGAGTGCTTAATTAGGGATCTGAATGGGGACAGCACTAAAGTTTCTGAGGAAACTAAGCTTGAAAACATTGTTGTTAAAAACGAGCCAAACAACAACCAGCCCAAGGTTGCTAAGGGTAAACGAGATATGCATTTGCCCCTAACAAATGGGCTTGTTTCTAATACAACGGCAGCGCTTCCAGAGTCGAAGGCAAAGGAAACCAGGAAGTCAGATGCTAAAGTTGCTTCAAAGAAAAAGGATAAGGACTCTAGTGTCAAAAAGTGTGACGAAAAAAAGAAGAGTGGTGACAAATCTAAAGAATCCAAAAAGACTGAAGACGGGAAATCGGATAATACTTTGAAAAAAATGGATTCAAAAGAAAAACCTGTGAAGAAATCCGACTCGAAGGAGAAAAATGTGAAGAAAGAAAATACGGGTGTTAAGAAAACGGATCAAAAAGAAGAACATAAATTAAAAACGAAAACGAAAGAGGGCACCAAACCGCCAAAAGATGTCACAAACGTCTCATCGGAAAAGAAACTGGTGAAAAAATCGGACATAAGAGACAAAAAGACTGATTCTCCTAAAAAGAAATCAGAAAGCAAAGAAAAGAAAAAGAAAGCAGATTATATCACAAATCCAGACCCTCCCATGTTGGGAGGAAGTCGACCGCTCGTTTTGACTAATCTGACCAGCAAAATTGCGTCCTGCGCATGCACGAGCGGAAGTGAGGAGGATACCAGATCACTAGATGGCGCAGATGTATATACTAAAGCTATTATCCAATCAGACGAAAGCAAGCAGTGCAAGGATATTAGTGGCGAAGTAGTGCGTCACCATGGCAACAAGGATCTTGCAATAGCACGACCGCCTGTTCCGGACGTTCCGTTTGGGCGGTTTTTCGAAGAATTTATATTCGTGGTGTGCTTGTTCACATTTCTAGCCCTATGCATCGGAATACCATCAGAAACTTTCGTGCTTGTCGTACTAGGGATGCACTTCTTCTACTCGATGGTTACTATTCTTGGACTGTGTTGAATACTAGATCAAGATTTGTGTTTGCAACTACATAGTACAATCAGGCGATCATTACTTTACAATATTTCACTGTCATGTGTTTGTGTTTGTACATAGAGATATCTAGAAGGAGGATGTGAACGCACCTCCCCATGATCATCCATCATCTCCGAACGTGTCATAATAAAATAAACTATGACTGTCATATCAGAAGACCTTAAGCATAATCTTCTAACCTTTTTCTAGTGAAGCTGCAATCGCACCAGAAAACCTCGATTAGGGCCGAGTATTTTTTGTAGACAGGCCCTGTTTAGGGATTCGTTACTTGATTTTGTAGATTTGGGCATAGGTAAAGCAGCGTATGACGTCCTTCCTTTCATTGATACAGCTAGTTTCAGACAGTGATTGCTTTCAAACTACCTCGAACTGATTTCCTTGCGTTATATTTAATGTAAGAAAGCTGTTTCGATGGGCTTAACTCAAACACGAACACCCGCACCTGTATATTACAACACTGCCACAATATTTGTTTAATGCAACAACAGAATTATCTTTGTGTTTCATTCCGTGATGAATGTCGTGGATGGCACAACTCCGAGCATGCAGCCTCGGGATGGACGGTCTGTTCACTTATAATGTCAATGTAGTGGTTATAGATATGGGTTCTCTGAATATGCTGTTCAACCTATGGCTCTGATATATGCATACATATCTGATACAACTAAAAGTCCGAGATAACAAAAGTTGGATTTAACAATTTGATAAAACCATATTTGGCTACAACGAATCTAAGTTTGGTCCGCAGAGTGAAAAAATGATATTCTTGTCAGTAGCCAATTCCAGTAATAACGGGGCGGTCGGGTAGCCTAGTGGTTAAAGCGTTCGCTCGTCAAGCCGAAGACCCAGGTTCGATTCCTGACATGGATACAATGTGTGAAGCCCATTCCTGGTGTCCCCCGCCGTGATATTGCTGGAATATTGCTAAAAGCGGCGTAAAACCAAACTCACTCACTCACTCCAGTAATAACGGCCCCTAAGAGATCACTGTATTCATAATATGACTGTTAATCTACTTCGGATAACTCGAAGTCGGATAAAGCAAATATAAGTCACATTTGTACTTCATTGTTAAATGGAACAGCGACAAACGGTCATTCAAATTAATTTAGAATCATTGACGTCCGTTATTGGTGGAGATATAATATTCAAAATCCTCATTGGGATTGGGAAACTGTATTGTTGATGACGTCAGGCTGTGTTACCTCTAGCACGGGGCAACGACGTCTTCATTGTATCTGTGTAAACCAACCGTGACATCTGTGAAAGACAAAGGTACACATGATGAATGTTTCAGACACGAGTCCAACATCCCAGATCCACTCTTCCCTGTGAACATACAAACTCACTGACCTAAAGCCAAAGCCACATTCTTGTGTTTCGGGTAACTGTTTGCAAACTATATTGTTCAGAAGATTAAACAAACGTCTTGAAGGGTTTTCTTGACATGTTACAAATCTGGTAAAATATATTCCGGGTTGCAAGTGACGGGTAGGTTACCAGAAACATAAGTGGTGGGTTTTTTGTCTGCCTAGTATGCACGTGACGTTATCCGGAAGGAAAGCCTTGTGTTAAATGCAGTGTCTTATCCGTCTTGTGCGTCATAGTCTCGTCATGGTTGTATTAATTCGATTGTGACATTTGGGAAACTGCATTCAACATTTCTTTCTTTAAAACATGACTGTTCAAATATAGGTGTCGGTATTAACACGTGTATTGTACGATATGCTTTAATTCAATGAAAAGGTCAGAAAATGAAGATGTTGAAAGTTGATACATGTCGTTTGTTGACACACACTCACTTAACAACACAACTGAGAGTAATCAGGGGTTTTTCTGATTTATAGAACACAAGAGTAAAAATGTTTTGGATTTTTTTATTCCTTTCACAGACAACAAATGTTTATTTTATGGTTTACGGATAATAACCAATCAGCTTCGGTTGGTCGAAATATAAATACATTCAGTTAGCTCCTTAAAATAATTTTGGAATGAAGTTGTTTTGGTCGTTATTTTGGGGAGAGTAAAATTAGTTGTTAACGTTTATCGTACAGGCTGTTTGGTGTGTTAACAATAAAATGTACGTATATCTGTTCAGTCACAGACGAATTTCTATGAGAGGTATGTATCTGATCAATTAGTTAAGTATTTAAATAGTTAACAGTTACTTTCGTTTCCAAATTCATCAATGATGAAGTAGTCGAGCAAATCAAAATAAATATCACTTTTTGTGTCTTTGGTTAAAATCCGTATGCCGAAAAATAAACATAGCGTCGCCTTAAAGAGTGAATTCGAAAGGCAGCTAATTTTCACTTGTTTGCTATTTGCAGCGTCAATTTGTAGGACTGTGATATCAGTGAGTAAGCAGATATTATTAAACCCCAAACAGACTAATTATTTATTATCAACATTTAGCGTTGTTGATACATTTATTTACTTTGTTCTGTATATTTGTATATTTCAGGATAGCAAATGTGCAGCTATACACTCTCACTGGGTTACGAGTTAGATGGTAAAACCAATATTTTTTTTGTAATTATCAATTGTCTGGTGTACGTTCGCATATCATTATTATGGTAGGCCAAATTGCCACAGTTAAATGGAATATTTAAGAAATCAGAAAATATTTTGAAGTGTCCTAACGATGTATACTTTGTTTGCAACAAGGATTATTTAAGAAATAAATATTTTGAACTATATTATACAATTATCATATGTACATGTATTTGAATTTCATTGACATGATAGAACAAATCACGTATCTTGAATTCGTTTTCAAAATGTGTTTGTCGTAGAGAGAAATGTCCTGAAATTGTTTCAGTTACATTCGATAAAACAAAATTCATCTTTTGCGTTTCTTTTTTTCGTCAGTATATACCCATGAATTTACAACATGTTAGCATAATTGTGTGCGTACAGGGTGAGGTGATGTACATAATAAAAATACAGGCTGATAATAATTATTAGCTGTGCTGTCGGGTGCAAAACTGGATCAGGACTGCCAAAATGTACAACGGTTGTACATTTTGTTTTCACCGTTGAAATTAACATTGTTTGAGAAATATAAATTTATTTGTTGGCGAGGTCAACGTAATACTAATCTTTATTGTACAGAGAGAGATAAAACAAGCTATTAAAACTCGAAAATACCAACCATGTCTTGATTGTTATTATTTCATCACATTTACTGCGGGTGACCCACAAGAATATTTTGCGGCAGACCTAAGTCAACCATCCTCGACTATCCAGGGTGTATTTCCATTCTATTATGATTAATGCCCTGAACCAATTCTCATGCGTAGCTTTGATTCGGAAGCGACGTCACCATCTCTCCCGTGGTGTGTGTGTGTGTGTGTGTGTGTGTGTGTGTGTTGCTGCTGATTGCACTAGTCCGACTGATGCAAGATTTATAGTGCTAGCCCTAGCCCACTGAGATACCATGCCGCAGATTAACATGAATACCCTACTCAGCCAGAGTATACTGACTCCGACCCGACCAGTCCTTGCTTAGCCCCTTAATACCGAACGCCAACCAGGGTAACAACAAGTACCCTATTTTAACATCTTTTGGTATGACGCGGTCGGGGATCGAGCCACCGACCTTCCTCTCTCTGGGCGGCCTCATACGGCATGAACATTGGCTACTTCAACAGTGATTTATCGACAGCATGAACATCCATCTCGAAAAATGGGATACGATGACAAGCATCAACCAAGTCAGCGAGTCTGACCACCTGACCCCATTAGTCGCCTCTTACGACAAGCAAGGGTTGCTGAAGACCAATTAGTACAGGGTTTCTATCAGTTAATGGTTACCCTAATTACACAACAACAACGTCTTGGTTGAACACTTGACACCAATTACAGCGTCTAGATCTTGACTGTAAACTGGGCACCGAATCGTGAGGCAGATTTAGAATCCATGTTTAACCTTTAACTAAACCAGATATGTGGTCAGCTTTGTGATCCAGTATGTGTGAAGGTTAGGGCTGGGACGGGTAACTCGGGTACTCGGGTCGGGTGGGTACTGAATAAGACCCGGGTACCCACAGGACTACCCGGACCCGTGTTTAGTCACATGATATATTTTTTCATGAAACAAATTCACCATATAACTACAGGGTAACACCATAATTTTAAGTCTCTATTGTTCGCATACCTTTATGACTATGAACACGTTCCTTCTGACTTATATATGTTTGAACAAAGCTAAAACTTCAGTCAACTTCAGTGTATGCATGACCATATCGTTTTATACCTGTATCTGAATACATTCTGCCAGGGCTACTGTCAAACTATTCCCAATCGGACATTTTGTACCTATCTCTTAACACCAACAGCGAGTCGTCCTAGCCCTTGCCCTTGTCTAGGTTATAACTTTTTCGCTCGGTGAGGTGTGAGGTGAAATTGGGTTTAACGTCGCGTCCAAGATTATTGCACTTATATAGCGACGTGCATGCACGTGTGTGTGCGTGTGTGTGTGTGTGTGTGGCTGCTTGTACTAGTCCGGACTGATGCCGATTTATAGTGCTAGCTCACTGAGATACCATGCCGCAGTTTAACATGAATACCCCACCAAGACACAGTATACTGACTCCGAGCCGACCAGTCCTTGTTTTAGCCCCTTAATGCCGAGCGCCAGACAGGGTAACAACAAGTACCATCTTTTAACGTCTTTTGGTATGACGCGGCCGGGGGCGGACGCTCTACCACAAGACCACGGAGGCGGCTTTTTGCTCGGAAACGAAACATTGACGTCGGGACGAACGAGGAACCATTGTATGTTGAAAGTAAACTGTTCAACGACAAATTGAGTTAAAAACCAAAAACTTCACCTTCACCAACACGACCGTCGGTGTCTTGTATTCCATGAATAATATAAACAACAGTGTGTTAGAAAATTACATGGGGACAAAAAAGAGTGGGAAAACCGAACGTGCTCGGAAGGGAGAACTGCACCATTTTGACATCTTCAAAATTGATTTCATTCTCTTATTTCATTATCCACCACTTCTTTAAAGGTCTCACTGGGGAAATGGCAAAAACGGGATCCGTCTGTAAATGTGCTGATAAATTATTCATGCAGGAGGACGATGATAATTACACCTTGCGAGCAAGCACTTCCTTCCCGAGCAGACAGCGGGGATGTTTAGCTGGGTTTGGGGAACACGGTCAATGGTGAGGCGCTCAGGGTAGAATTGGGAATTTCAAATATACGCAGCACAGAAAGATGTGATGAGCTGTTGTGATATATTTAAATATAACAAAAAAACATGAAAAACTTCATGAATTCGTAGGAATAAATCCGTATCTTAAACAGTCACAGCGCTAATATACTGTGTAGCCAAAACACAGAAACCAGCCTTGTTGGAAAACAATTAATTTCAGGGAATGATATACAGTAAACTACGGTTATAACGAACTCAAAGGGACTGCTAATTCTAGTTCGTTATAACCGTAGTTCGTTATAAGAATATATACAGCATAACTACAGCAAATAGTCGGGACCAAAAAGTAAGTTCGTTATATCCGTCAGTTCGTTATAAGCGTGTTCGTTATAACCGTAGTTTATTGTATGATTAAAGCTGTCGGGAAGGGTTTAACGACGCTTTGAACAGTATTCCAGTTGTGTCAGGGCGTGTCAGCTTGATGTAGGAGGAAAGACCGAAGTGATGCAGGTCTCAGACGTTTACCACTTTGGCGGACCACACAAGCACGGTCATGGTGCTTACAAACCAAGAAAGAATCGGGACGAACCGGGATTCGAACCCAGGATCATAGGTTTCCTGTCTGCCCATGGCGAATTGCAGCGCTTTAGAGGACTGGGGCATCAGTGTTGCCCTGGTGGGTAGGCAAGAGATATTGCTATATTGGGGAAGTTAATACAGTTATTAGGGCTCCAAGACCCTATTGTTATTGTTCCATTAATTATTATTATTAGACTCATAAGTATCGGGACTAAGGGCGGATAATTAAAAAATATTCATTTTTAACTGACATAGCTCACCCTATTTCTCTTCAGCTCATCCAGTAACTATCAAACTCGGCACGTTGTAGCAGCGTTAAAAGACAGTAGTTTGTGTTCTTTGACTTATATCATAGTCATATAATTTGGCAGACATATTGGATTTATGTTTTTTTCCAAGTTCATTTGGATCTTTTTTAGGGCACATGTCTTCCAACATCTCCTCGTCTGATGCTATCGGGGGTGCGTCAGGTGCGGAAAAGGCTTAACCGAGTCACATGCAGTCAAGGATAACAAGCCAGTGAAAGAAGGGACTCATTCTTTTGCCGGACTATTTACAGCCTGGTTCCCTGGGTATGCTGCGCTGGCGCGTCAGACTATTTAAAGGATTGTGACCCCCGTGACCACTGTGTTGAATTTCTTCGATCCGTTTTAGAGACGGAAACGAGTAATTTGGCTAAAATGGGCCATTTTGTGTACCCAAGAACCAGTGGTCTTATTTTGTCCAGTTTGGTGCAGCGTATGTAGACTTTGATTTCCGAGAAGTTCATAGAGTCATAGGTTTGAAGACTAAGGTGAGGTGAGGTGAAATGGGGTTTAACGTCGCGTCCAAGATGTTTGCACTTATATAGCGACGTTTAATTACGTGTGTGTGTTCGTGTGGCTGCTTGTACTGAGTCCGGACTGATGCCAATTTTATATTGCTAGCTCACTGAGATACCATGCCATAGTTTAACATTTTAATACCCGCCTCAGACACAGCATACTGACTCCGAGCCGACCAGTCCTTGTTTTAGCCCCTTACTGCCGAGCGCCAGACAGGGTAACAACAAGTACCATCTTTTAACGTCTTTTGGTATGATGCGGCCGGCGGACGCTCTACCACTAGACCACGGAGGCGGTCGTGAAGACTCAGGGCTAATAAGGGACTGACCATTGGAATTCCTTGTGTGGGTATCGAGATTAGATACTTATTCAGCTACAGCTACAAAACCAGACGTTTGTATTTAAATGGTCAGACCCTAATTCAAATGTAAATGACAACTGGTACGATATTGTTAAGCCACAACGGGCCACCCATCCTTTTTGCGCTTTGACTTAAGTCCTAGGTCACAAGGTTTGGCGTGTATATTTGATACATTGTTCATCCAACCAGAATTCTCGTGCAGATACCTCTTAAGGCTACCATAAGAATTAACAGTAAACAGTTTATTGTCTTCCTGATCCTCCGTGCCCGGCTGCAAAGACAGTGAACGGTGTGTAACATATTATTTTGACACTTCTTTTAATGTGTGTGCCAACCTCGATCCCCAGCGACAGTGAAGACAGTGAACGGTGATTGTAACATATTTGATTAACGCTTCTTTTAATGTCCGATCGATGGCCGAAAAATATGTTTCCTAATCACCCTTCATTGTCTTTGCAGTCGATTGAAGATCTGGAACACAGAAAGAAGCGTCAATAAAATATGTAACATATCCACAATATTAAACTGCCTTGAAAGTGCATATAAGTGTAAAACGAAATGGTAATGCGAAAAGCAATTACTGCTGACGAAATGACAAGCCAACCAGAATGAACATTAATTGTGTAACTATGGCAGATGGAGACACTCTTGGTGAATGTGCTCGACCGATTGAAACTTCTTTTGTGTTGAGGTTCACAGGGCCGTAGCCAGCCGGGGGGGGGGGGGGGGGGGGGGGGGGGGTTGCTCATGATATTAATCACGTTTCTTTGGTTCACTCACTCATTCTCACTTGTGAGTGAGTACATGGTCAATCTAGCAGTGAAACATTACCCGGATTACCCTTGGACCATGCCACATTTCGAAAATAGATAGCCCAAATAGATGTGGCTCTCGCGGCAATGGTTATGGTTACGTGATTGTATAATGTGGCTCTCGCGGCTATGCTGTCAAAACATGCTTTGTGATTCTAACAGGTTACCGTATATAACAAAACAAGTCTTGTTTTCTCATTTTTTATTCAACAAGGATAACAGGATGAACCCATTGTCAATTAAGACCGCCTTTGATCTCTAAAGAACACCACGCTTAGTAATTTAAATGTGGGACACTCATTTAAAGGTATCTCTAAAGAACACCACGCTTAGTAATTTAAATGTGGGACACTCATTTAAAGGTATCACTAAAGAACACCACGCTTAGTAATTTAAATGTGGGACACTCATTTAAAGGTATCGGTAATCGGATTAATTAATTACCCGCTAGAATAGGTGAAATGCACTCAGCTGAAAATGTGGCTCTACCGGCAATAGCCATTTCTGAAATGTGGCTCTCCCGGCTAGACACCATTACTACATACCCAGGACCCCAGGAATTGAAGAAACACCTTGAAAGCAGAATATCCTCCGGTTGTTTTACAATAGTTCCCTATATAAGTGCCATGGGGCTGTGCTCCAATGATCAGGGGTGTCATTAAACAAGAATAAAGTAACAACGAAAACCCGGTGATAGGATCATAGGTTTATTACTAACAACTAATTGTAAAATAGATGACAATAAAAAGACAAAATGAGCCCAATCTGCGCTGACAGATCATTGATTAATTAAACGACAGCAAATACACAAGCGGCTTAGCTAAGCAACAGGATTACAATAATAAAATTAGAGTAGCTGAAACAACACTTAGACAAGATACCGACCAGGGCCCACTTGCACAAAGCGACCTTAGCGCTAAGACTATTGTAAGCCTATGTTAAAGTATGGGAGTTACGATCATCTTAGCGCTAAGATCGCTTCGTACAAGTGGGCCCAGATGCGTAGACAGCCAATCAAGTCGGCTGCGATCAATGAACACCTGATTCAATTAACTCAACACTCTGATGAGTGCATAACCTCGACTGAGTTAAATAACGGGAAGTAAACACTTATCCCTAAAATAAGTCACTTGGACTATAAATTAGACAAGTACGCCTGAATCTCAAACTAGTCTAGTCGACTAAAGATTCAACCACTTTGACTGAACAAGGAAATACTAAAATTCCCCAAATCCAAAAGATATCCAACGTCATCATTATAAAAAGGTTTACACCAAATTATGTACAATTATTGAGGAGGCAGAAATGATCACAAATACATGAGAAATATCTGAGTGTGCATACATGTATAAACTCCCCTAATGTTTGAAAATCACAAAAACATTTTTATTATATGAATAAGGTAACAAACATATAGGAGATAACAGACATCAAGTCAATACTAGTACATAGAAAGAGGGCCCGAGAAGATCCGGGGTAGAATAGGTCTTCAGCAACCCACGCTTGTCGTGAGAGGCTAACGAGATCGGGTGGTCAGGCTCGCTGACTTGGTTGATGCATGTCATCGATCCCAATTGCATGTATCGATGCTCATGATATCAATCACTGGATTGTCTGGTCCAGACTCGATTATTTACAGACCGCCGTCATATAGCTGGAATATTGCTGTGTGCAGCGTTAAACACAAACAAACAAGCACACATGGTAAGAGTGCTATATTTAGATCACTAGAGAATGAAATAGTCGGGTCACTAATTCTCTAACTTAAAAAGCAATGACACTGATCGTTTGGGATCCTACTTCTTACGCTTCATGTTTGATATAGTTCATGTACAACTATGATGTCAAGTGACTGGTCAGACTCGATTCGTTATGTATGACACCTCGGTACACATGCACATCGATGTAAAACAACGGCCTTGAATTAATTGTTATGTTTGCAGATTTCTAAAACAAATTGGCCAATATTTTTATGCCTCTAAATAGATTTAGTAATTGGTACATGTAGGTGTTACACAATGTCACAACATTCAGCGATCTCGCTCTGGCTTTCACATGTTGCAGATAATGTAGGGGAGAGAATCACTTTGTCAAACTGGGTCCCCTGCAGCGACCAACGCATGCTAATGATCGAACCAGTTGGCTTCCAAAGGGAGATAACAAGTTGTTTACTTCCGACTCTGTGACAGATGTTTCACAAACGCGAGTGAATACTGCTTATATTCGGTCGATACTTAAATGCTCAGGTCTTATTGACGTGTGATCACATAAATGCATAAATGGAACTTGGACCAACTACAATGGAGGGACCAGTAGGCCATGGTGAGCAAACAACTCATTGACATTTTGAGGATTTTAGCAGATGTATGACCACTGATAACGTTCGGACTTTCGTACAAAGCTCTGAAACAACAGTGTTAGTCGACATTGATCAATATGATCAGTTTATACCCATTAAACTCGCGACATGTAATGGTGTTTTTTTAGAAAACGAGTTATCGATCAAATGGTGAAATGTAGGGAAAACAGGCCTGGCAGTGTTGCAGTTGGTTGTTGTGTTACTCGGCTAATAGACAAGACCTAAGTAGAACGTGAACATGTTTAAATAAAATTCTGTAAAATAACCCTTGATCATTAAGGAAACGGCATGTCTCAAAATTTTCCGAGAGCTGAAAGAGGATTAATATAGGCTGAATGAGTGGGTGAGTGAGTGTGGTTTTACATAGCTGAGAGCCGAGATGGGGTCCAACATGTCTTAAATGTAGGACCCCATCGTGGCTCTCGGCTAGGTCTTACACCACTTTTAGCTATATTCCAGCAATATGACATCAGGGGTAGAGCTGAGTATCGCCTTGTATTTTGGGATACGATGCGTATCACAATACAGACTGACACTACTACTGGTATAGCGATGCACATCAAATAGTATGAAATGACGAAATCATGAAACACTTTTACAAAAAAAACCACAAGTACAAAAAAGTTAAAATGAAGTGATGCTTAAGTAACAGTTAGTTGGCACATCCTCGGGTACACGTCCTTATGCATGGTATGTTCTGCCATTCTTACAGGTGGCACTATGCTACTTCTGCAATTACGGGAAGAAACTCTATTTGTTGCTGTTCTATTGATAGCGTATCTCACAATCTGACAATTCAAGTTTTGAGTGTACCTAAGTATCAATGATAGGTATTGGTGAATCATTATAGCCCTAGTCAGGGGACATCATGTATGGGCTTCGCACATTGTATCCACATGATCCATGTGGTGAACTGAACCTTCAACCCAGGTCTTCCACGTGACAAGGAACACTTTAACCACTCTTCCACCCTACCGCCCCCCTTGAGCTGAAAAGGGGATGAAAGTGGAATTGGGGTGAATATGTATGTTATATATATGTTCTGGTGTCTGTGTTGGGGTTAGCTGCATTGGACTAGAGTTACAACTTGATGTGGCTGCAGCCCTCGGCTGCTTTTGGGTTTGCTAAGTACTGTTTGCACAATCTACGACCAGCAAGTTTCCCCATCCCTGCCTCATCAGCTGATAGTAAAACAATGAGCATGACGACCATGACGACAAGGTTCTCCTTGCCTTTGTATGGTTTAAAATGATTATACATCGGAATTGAATATCCACATCATGTAAACAATTTATTGAAACACTGAAAACAGATATCGACATGGAAAAATTACCTAAAAATAGAAGATGTATAATGTGTGCAGCAACATCTTCAGTGACATTCATCAATTCCACATTTCAACAAACACATATTTTTCAATAACATGATTAAGTTTTGTAACAAAATTTGCACGTACTTACAAAAACATTTATTTTAAGCTGTTGTGTGGGGGTAAGCTCCCAAACCCCCTGTTATTAAGAGTGAGGCAGATGAAAATGGCATGTGAAACACTATCAAAATTGTACAAAGGAAGAAGCTTGTTCAAAATCCTTACCATTACGACAGAAGGGGTCTGGTAAATTGCATTCCTACCATCAACATCAGACAGTAAAAGATATTGAATGATTTCATCTATGAAACATAATCAGCAGATCATACTAGTGATGCATGCTGTAGGTAATATCTTCGGGTATCCAAAGTTCAGGACCCTAAGCATTGGGCAGCCGTTGTCTCGTGAAAGAAGGCGGCACTAATCAGACAGTCAGATGTATTAAAGCGTGGGGTTGGCACATACCGGTGATGAAGAGTGCCTCTTTAACAAAATGTTTAAAGACCCCAGCCATTTGCCATCTGTTTCAAACCTGTAAATGAAATACAATTTTTGAAAAAAATAGTGAAAAATTAGAATACTTACTATTTAATTCATTTCTCCAACTGGGTCATTTGTTTTTTTAATAAGCTGTTCTAAATTCCTACACATTATCTGCTTTACTGCAGTTATTCTTGGAAGGGTGCCAGAAAAGGCCTGTCCAAACAACTCTTACATCTTATGATACCCAACCTTGTAAATAGTAATGAAAATATGACGTGAAATATATATTGGCAATGTGTTGTGTGGCTGAAATATTCCTCAATTACATAATGTCACATAGAAAGTTGCCAAGCAGAAACATTCCTACAATCACATGATGACATACCGCCGGTTACCAAGCATGTTCACAATGGCTGACAGTAAAGCCTCAAGACAAAGCAAATAAGGAATATCATTGTGTGATTAGCATCTGGCTATGTGCTTAAATGAAGACCAACTTAGATTCCAGTCATCTAAGACGCCGCAGTTTGCTATACAGAGTTATGTCCCTTGGACACGCCAGAAACCTATGATTGTGGGTTCAAATCCAATCAAATCAAATTCTCGGTTTGTCAGCACCATAACCGTTCCCGTGGGTTTCACCAAAGTGGTAGACGTCTGAGACCTGCATCACTTTGGCTTCTCCCACATTAACCTGGTATGCCACGATATAACTGGAATACTGTTAAAAGCAGTGTTATACCCAAATCACTCAGTCAAATTATTAACAAAAATCAACAAACAATCAGCCAGACCACCAGCAGTGATGAGATGTGTACCTTTCACAAGCTGTCTGTCCAAGACTTAAGCTGCCATTCTCCTGCAGGTGGGTAATTTAACCTCTGGTTTGCTGGAATAAGATCAGGCAACAGTTTCGGTCACACGTCTAGTTGTTGTTATTTTCAACAAATGCTTCAATGTAGTATGTTAAAGATTTGTGGTAAAAAACATTGATCGCTGGTTCAAGTAGTAATAAAAGACAGAGAAATCTGTCAAAATTGGACCTCAGTTATTATCCTGAAATTACTGTGGTATTTTTCACTTCTCATAAACTATATCTGTTTAAAATGAAGAATTATTTTGAAAACTTAATTGGAATCATGTTTCTCTAAAGCTGATCTTAATGTCACTAATTCAGTGTAAATAGACAATGCTCCACAACAGACATTGCCAAACGGTTTTTTTAACAGTTTAAGACGCTTTTTTCTTAAATTTAATGCTTATAATATATCATGTGTATTTGGATTGGATATGGTTTTATCCAAATATTTGTGAGAAAACCTTTTTTGATTGATTTGTAAACCACATGATTACAGGGTATTTATTATTTTCATTAAAAAGATATTGTTATATCGTGCTAGGAAGGGACGTCGCTCACTAAAAAACATATTAATATTTCGTCCCCACACAAATCCAGTTTAGTGTCATGAGCATAGTTGCAAAACAACTAATGCAGGGTATTGGTATATTTTGCTAAAACAATGTACGTATGCAGTAATTTCAGAACCAAGAACATGAAATAGTGTCTAATAAATAATGATATCACCATGATAATGTTTTATTCAACATGTAGATGATACGTTTAATATGTATAGACTCTAGGATGAGTCAAGTTACACATACTTGCATACTAGGTTACCATGCTTACATTGCCAGGGTTTGAAAATAACCATGGAAGTCAACATTGTCCATGTGGTCCTGTCATAACTCTTACCTTAAAACAAGAAACAAGAGATACTTTCTCTTCCATGATGACAACCGTATTCGACGTAATAAGCGCCCACGGCGATGTTTACTAATACATTGGCTAGTTAACAATCCCAATTAGCACCCCTTCCAATTGATCAATGTACACAAGACTTATTGTAGACTCGTATGTTATATGCACCCTTAATTATGGGCAATTAAATTCTGGAAAAATATGTTGGTCATGTATAAACATTTCAGGCTGTCAGCATAAACCACGAAATTTACAATCTTTCAACTATTTTTTTTTCACCAAAATAATATTCTTATAAGAGCCCCCTATTTCTAATTTTGAGAGCGCCCTGGGCGCTTATCACATCAAATACAGTAATCAAAATAGTGAAAACCCAACTCACTCACTATGTATATGTCACATCAAGTTGTAACTCTAGTACAATGCAGCAAACCCAACACAGACACCAGAACAGATATAACACCTAGCCGAGAGCCACGATGGGGTCCTACATTTAAGACGTGTTGGACCCCGTCTCGGCTCTCAGCTATGTAAAACCACACTCACTCACCCACTCATTCAGCCTATATTAATCCTCTTTCAGCTCTCGGAAAATTATGAGACATGCCGTTTCCTTAATAATCAAGGGTTATTTTACAGAATTTTATTAAACCATGTTCACGTTCTACTCAGGTATTGTGCCATTGACAAACATCTTTTAGTATTTGCATTAATTTTGAAATGTCTCGTTGTTTGAAGAGGAAGAGTTCCTCGCCATTCCTCTTGGACACAACTGCCTGCTGTTGTTTCTGACTATCTGGTGCAAGCAATAATGTTTCATTATTAGGATGATGAGCTAACAATCATACATGAATGTCAAACAGTTGTAGCCGTCTAGGTGTAACGAGTGATACCATGAATCTGCCAGGCGTTTAGTTTAAGACACGGATCCGGGGCAGGGCTCAGATTCAAGGATCTATGGCAGATCCTTTATTGCAGATCGTACTACAAACTAATCCTGCTGATGAGTAATGAAGATGCGATCCTATGATCTTTGTGGTGCAAACAGTATATACCCAATTCCACATAGTGATCATTTGACCTAGGTGGTGCAAACAGTATATACCCATCTCCACATAGTGATCATATGACCTAGGTGGTGCAAGCAGTATATACCCAACTCCACACAGTGATCATATGACCTAAGTGGTGCAAGCAGTATATACCCAACTCCACACAGTGATCATATGACCTAAGTGGTGCAAGCAGTATATACCCAACTCCACACAGTGATCATATGACCTAAGTGGTGCAAACAGCATATTATTACTATATATACCCAACTCCACACAGTGATCATATGACCTAAGTGGTGCAAGCAGTATATACACAACTCCACACAGTGATCATATGACCTTTGTAGTGCAAACAGTATATACCCATCTCCGCACAGTGATCATATGACCTAAGTGGTGCAAACAGTATATACCCAACTCCACACAGTGATCATATGACCTAAGTGGTGCAAACAGCATATTATTACTATATATACCCAACTCCACACAGTGATCATATGACCTAAGTGGTGCAAACAGTATATACACAACTCCACACAGTGATCATATGACCTTTGTGGTGCAAACAGTATACAGTAAACTACGGTTATAATGAACACGCTTATAACGAACTAACTTTTTAGTCCCGACTATGTGCTGTAGTTATGCTGTATATATGCTTATAACGAACTCAAAGGGACGACTAATTTTAGTTCGTTTTAACCGTAGTTCGTTATAAGCATATAGTTTACTGTATACCCATCTCCACACAGTGATCATATGACCTAAGTGGTGCAAACAATATATACACAACTCCACACAGTGATCATATGACCTAAGTGGTGCAAACAATATATACACAACTCCACACAGTGATCATATGACCTAAGTGGTGCAAACAGTATGTACACAACTCCACACAGTGATCATATGACCTAAGTGGTGCAAACAATATATACACAACTCCACACAGTGATCATATGACCTAAGTGGTGCAAACAATATATACACAACTCCACACAGTGATCATATGACCTAAGTGGTGCAAACAATATATACACAACTCCACACAGTGATCATATGACCTAAGTGGTGCAAACAATATATACACAACTCCACACAGTGATCATATGACCTAAGTGGTGCAAACAATATATACACAACTCCACACAGTGATCATATGACCTAAGTGGTGCAAACAATATATACACAACTCCACACAGTGATCATATGACCTAAGTGGTGCAAACAATATATACACAACTCCACACAGTGATCATATGACCTAAGTGGTGCAAACAATATATACACAACTCCACACAGTGATCATATGACCTAAGTGGTGCAAACAATATATACACAACTCCACACAGTGATCATATGACCTAAGTGGTGCAAACAGTATGTACCCAACTCCACACAGTGATCATATGACCTAAGTGGTGCAAACAATATATACACAACTCCACACAGTGATCATATGACCTAAGTGGTGCAAACAGTATGTACCCAACTCCACACAGTGATCATATGACCTAAGTGGTGCAAACAGTATGTACACAACTCCACACAGTGATCATATGACCTAAGTGGTGCAAACAATATATACACAACTCCACACAGTGATCATATGACCTAAGTGGTGCAAACAGTATGTACCCAACTCCACACAGTGATCATATGACCTAAGTGGTGCAAACAATATATACACAACTCCACACAGTGATCATATGACCTAAGTGGTGCAAACAGTATGTACCCAACTACACACAGTGATCATATGACCTAAGTGGTGCAAACAGTATTTACCAAACTCCACACAGCGATCATATGACCTAAGTGGTGCAAACAGTATTTACCAAACTCCACACAGCGATCATATGACCAAAGTGGTGCAAACAGCTTTTACCCAACTCCACACAGTGATCATATGACCTAAGTGGTGCAAGCAGTATATACCAATCTCCACACAGTGATCATATGACCTAAGTGGTGCAAACAGTATATACCCATCTCAACATAGTGATCATATGACCTATGTGGTGCAAACAGCACCCATCCATGTATATTATTACTATATACCCAACTCCAAACAGTAATCATATGACCTAAGTGGGTGTAAACCGTATATACACACTCCACACAATCATCATATAACGTAATGTATTATTTTATTTATTTTAAAGTTTTTAACAATATTCCAGACATATAACAGCGATCTGTAAGAAATGAAGTTTGGACCAGACAATTGGGCAATTGTTGAGCATGTCATGGAACCCACTACGTCACCAAGCCTGACCACCCGATCCATTTAGCATAGTCGCCTCTTACAACTGTGACAGGTGGCTGGGGACCTGTCGTCTCACCTGCACGTATATAAACTAGCAATCACAGTCAGAAGTCACGCTGCTGTACTGTACTTTCTTGTGTATAATGCACACACCAAATTCTTGGTTACAAGTTTGGGGGAAAATGGCTATTACATATAATGTGCAGTCAAAAACTACAGATATGCAGGGAACTCTTTTGGCAGGACTGACTAGCTATTGTTGACATGCTCTGTGTGGTGCTTTCAATAATGCCTTTGTTTGGGGGGAAACAAATTCAATATTGTCCATTGTCTGTATTTCATCAAGATTATGCACACTCCCCTACACAGCTGTATTATTTTTTAAAAAGGTGTGCCTTATACAGAAAATGTTGTGTTTTACTGTTATATATACACAGATAATGATTACGCTTTTATCGATGTACAGGGGATAAGATTGGTCTCATTAACGATGAACCACCAAAGCGCACAACGAAGAAGGAGTCCACAGACAGTGACAGTACGCGGGCGGAGTCCTCCCCACTACACAGGGGCGGTGCAGGAGATGCCCACGAGGGCAAGAAGAGCACGTAAGTACTCAGTAGGGTTCCCTGTCTGTTAGGGCTGGGACGAATCCAAATTTACTACCCGGGTACCCAACCCCCTATTGGCCGTCCCTACCCGGATACCTGTTGTAGGTATGAAGAGGTAGGTACAAACTGTCCGATTGGGAAAAGTTTGACCGTAGCCCTGGCAAAATGTATTTAGATACACATATAAAACTATCTGGTGTATACACTGAAGTTGACTGAAGTTTTGTTTTTATTCAAACATATCAAAAGTCAGAAGGAATGGGCATAGTAGTCAGAAAGAACTGCGAACATTAGTGACTTGCAGTTGAAACAGACAGTTCTAGATAATTTTTGTCTTGAAACAATATATCACATGACTAATCACGGGTCCGGGTAGTCCAATGGGTACCCGGATCCTGCTCATTACCCGCCTGACCCAAGTACCCAAGTTATCCTACTGTCTGTATGCGCCTTGCTTCACTTCACTGTCGGGAGTACCACGAAAGCAGTATCGGATGCTATATCAGATGTGTTTTATTGGTAGATAATCAGTGTTAAAATAGAGAGTGTGTGGATGTCATGTGTTTTGTAGGTTGCTATGGTGTTTAGCATGTTTAGCTTAGAATCAGTGGTCATCATTATTAAACTTTGGGTAAATATTTTTAAAGCTTGTACATTTTTATCAACATCCTTAAAGAGGCTGTACATAATGTTGATGTCTCATATAAGAAATAAACGACGAATGGGTGTTGTTTATTGTACAATAAAACACTGCAGGGAGAATAAACCATGAGGTCGCAGTTGTGATGTCAGCTGTGGTAACTGTATCACTGTGCTGCTCACTATAAACATGGTAATTGATATTGACTTATCACTGCACGGAGCTACCGACTGTCCCAAAGTGTTTTCCAAATAGATTCCCAGTTAGGAACATATCACAATGACAAGCCTGCCGTCAGGCACAGTCAGGTGGTAGGCAAGCATAGCAACACAATCATAGGGTGATATTATCATGATTATAGAACAAAAATGTTATCATAATTATGTTGCTGAACAATGACTAAACACAATGTAACTTTCTTTACTGTGATGAATGTGTACTGTGCCTTATTATCGCTAGACCACTATCCACAGCTGTCGATAATTTGATATCTCAGGGATTTATCTAGAGCTGATCAGGGACGCATATTCTGCCCCAATTGAAGTCTGCAGCAAATGTCAGTTTGTTTGTTTGTCTGTTGTTTAACACCGCACACAGGAATATTCCAGCTATATGACGGCGGTCTGTAAATAATCAAGTCTGTACCAGACAATTCAGTGATTGACATCATGAGCATTGATCCAATCAAATGGGATACGCTGACATACATCAAACAAATCAGCATGCCTGACCCTCCGGTCAAATTAGTCACCTCTTACAACAAGTATAGTCACCTTTTTCGGCAAGCATGGGTTGCTGCAGACCTATTCACTACCCCAGTCTTCACAGGTCCAAATGTCAGTAATAATTCCCAGATTGGAATTTAACATTTCCCAGTACACGTCGTAGTGGTTATGTGTAATGTTATAGGTTTATGTCGAGGAATAAGCTTTAATGTTCAGTTTATCATTTGCATTTAATGCACTATTAATTCTGTGTTAAAATACCTCTGAATTTAGGAAAGTAAGAAGTTTATCAAGATCCCAATTTTGGACAACATAATACTTCTCCCAATCTACCTGCCAAGGGCACTTCTTTTGGAATCTGAAATTATGAAAATAAGAAGTTTATCAAAGATCCCAATTTTGGACAACATAATACTTTTTCCCAATTTACCTGCCAAGGGCACTTCTTTTGGAATCTGAAATTATGAAAATAAGAAGTTTATCAAAAATGCAAATTTTGGACAAAATAACACTTTTTATAAATTTGCCTGCCAAGGGCACTTCTATTGGAATATCCTAGGTAAGTCCCTGTATGGTATTTATCGTAAGGAGGTTTCTTCTGTATGTCTTCCCCTGGTATCAGGACAACTGCTTCTGGGGTCAGTGTCATGTTATGTCGTCAGTTTTGTAATATTCCTCTTTTGTATTTGCCAGACTGCAGTCCTTCAGCCTGCGTGTGATCATCATCTCTGCTATAGTGTTTGCCGTTGCTGTCACCGTCTCCCTCATCCTCAGCATCTACCTGGGCCCACCACAGGTACAACCAACTCACTCATCTCAGTCGGAATTACTATGCGAACAGCTGTCACATGACTTCTTTGAGAGGCATTTTGTAGTTGGAATACTAAGTACGGATAAGATATATGGATGAACAACTTCTTTATTACAATTAGGAGCGACGTTTTGGTGTAGGCTGCTTGATAACAGTGTTAGAACCTATACCAAAACGTCACTCCTAATTGTAATAAAGAAGTTGTTCATCCATATACCTTATCCTTACTTAGCTGTCAGATACTATTTATCTTATGAGTTGTTTCAAAACAATTAAAAGTTGGATATGATTTGAAAGGGCGAGTTGTAAGATCAAAGGTATATGAAAGGCACATGTGTAGTAATTTGTTTCTTACACACACTAAAATCGTACCATTTTAGCCTCGAATCGATACATATTTATTCTATTCTCATGATCGCAGTTGCCGTGGTGGTTGAGTGGGTTAGTTATATTGCTGACTTTGTATGCTGGCAATTTTGTGCGTCACTCGGAGAGTGTGGGTTCAAATGGGATGGGACGCAACCCCCTAAAGTACTAGAATTTGTTTACTAAGAAAGTGTTATCCCAAATATAACATTTGTTACATTTGACCACTTTCTAAAAGGCATTGTGTATTCATGTGGGATGGTTTCTGGTAGGACTGAGATGATACACCAACTGTCAATCCAATACGTATTGCATGTGCTCTTATCTGTGGTGCGTAAGCCATCTTTTTCATAGACAGGAGGGGCAGTGGGGTAGCCTAGTCGTTAAACCGTTCGCTCGTCATGCGGAAGACCAGGGTTCAATTACCCACATGGGTACAATGTGTGAAGCCCCTTTTCTGGTATCCCCATCGTGATATTGCTGGAATATTGCAAAAAATGGCATAAAACCATACTCACCCACTCACTCATAAACAGGATGGCAAGTACCTAGCTCACTAAGAATTTACAGTTGTCAGTGTCAAGTATGGCACACAGGATGAAAATATTTACTTTTTCACAATTAACTTTCACTACTACCAGGTAATTAGTGTTTAGTGGAAGAGCTATTAAAGCAAACATTTAAGGTAAGAATTGATACTTTTTACTTGCATGCGAGTGTGATCGATACTTGTATCAAGGAATAAAAAATCGCGATACATCGATTCGATGCATCAGTATATTGTCCTACCAGTAGTTTCTCAGCAGGATAAAGCCAGTGGATAAGAATGCTATCTGTTGGATCATTCAGATAAATATGCAAATATAAGGTCAGGTAGGTACTACTTTCAGTGTTTGCAAACAAACATGGCGTACATCCAAACACTGTATATCACATTTGGTGAATGACACAGTGGTGATTATGCCAGTCACTATGAATATGAAACATCCTGTGTCATCCTCTCTGTTGTAAGTTTACAAGTGACATACATCTGACTCTTACGTATGATCTAGATTGGTGAACATGGTGCTGTTGCTTCGGATGTCGGCGTCTGCTCAGAGATGGGCCTGGCGATACTCAAGAAGGGGGGTAACGCTGTTGATTCCGCTGTGACAACGCTGTTGTGTCTGGGTGTGGTCAACTCTCACAGCTCAGGGCTTGGCGGGTGAGTCTTTGGCCAATGGCATGGATATTTGCAAGAGAGGTTATGCATTATTTTCAATGTCAGTTCAGTGAAGTCCATGAACCTTTGTCAATGTGCAGATGTATTATCGTAGAAGTTTTAATTTCAGCTGCTGGATCCCCTATAATAATCATGATCATATCCAGTGTCATTATAATCAGATGTTTTGCTCCAGGAGAATACCTCTTTGCATGAGGATACCTCCACAAACGGCCACATCAGATGAAGTTTCTAATCAGAAGAATCAGCATCAAGGCTTCTATATTCAGATCAGCCTATCTCATTTCTGTATCTAGATAAAGAACTAAAACAAGCAGTTCCGAATGTTGATAATTAAAGCTCTGCCATTTTATTGTTAACATTTTATACACCCTGTAGTTTTTTAACAAACCATGGAAGGAATATTTGCATTGTGTGTCCGTTTTGTTTTTCAAATCTAAATGTTTTAATGAAGGCGGTGAAGAAATGAAGCTGAATTGTTTCAGAAAATCTGATTGGCTCAAGTAGCCGTGCATTCTTTATTGACCTTTTGGGATCAAAGTCCGCTCAGGGTTAGACCCTGACTAGACCCTGAGCTTCTATCATCAGATCTTCACACAAGGAAGTAGCATATTGGAGTACTAGGTCTGATATTAATGAGATTGGATCGATATATTGCAGTAAGTTATGACAGTCAAGGTGGTTTGAATGTGAATTAAATATTCTCATACGCTACTGTCTCCATATTATGGATATAAATAATCTCCCTTCCATGATATAGCTGGAGTATAATCAGCCATAAACCATATATTTGAGACACGCCAACATGGGTCTCACTCACAGGCATGTCTTATACACATCATGCTAACAGAGCAAAGTGATTGGGGGATGTTGTCTCATGTTTTGTATTCATTCATGTTTTATCACACCCCTTTGTTCTGTTACCATGGTAACACTAATTTGAATTTTTTTCAGGGGTGGTTTTATGGTTGTATATGATCACAAGATAAAACAATCTACTGCCTATGACTTCCGTGAAACATCACCCAAGGCTGCCAAGGATTCTCTCTTTCCTGATAAAGCATCAACATTGAAGGTCAGTCATTCATTTGTGGAGACCGCCTCTGTGGTCTAGTGGTAGAGCGTCCGCCCGGAGAGAGGAAGGTCTGGGGTTCGATCCCCGGCCGCGTCATACCAAAAGACGTTAAAAGATGGTACTTGTTGTTACCCTGTCTGGCGCTCGGCATTAAGGGGCTAAAACAAGGACTGGTCGGCTCGGAGTCAGTATACTGTGTCTGAGTGGGGTATTCATGTTAAACTGCAGCATGGTATCTCAGTGTGCTAGCACTATAAATCGGAATCAGTTTGGACTAGTACAAGCAGCCACACAAACACACACGTACATGCACGTCGCTTTATGAGTGCAATAACCTTGGACACGACGTTAAACCCCATTTGACCTTACCATCCATTTGTGTCTATATAAACTACTCCTCTGTGACCTCATCAACCCTCAGTCTGGTAGCTTCACCAGCCTTATCTGCCTTCATAATGACTTTGATGTACACATCTTTGTTAAGTACAGTAAACTACGGTTATAACGAACTCAAAGGGACCACTAATTTTAGTTCGTTATAACCGTAGTTCGTTATAAGCCTATATACAGCATATGTACAACATATGTACAACAAATGGCCGGGACTTAAATATAAGTTCGTTATATCGGTCAGTTCGTTATAAGCGTGTTCGTTATAACCATAGTTTACTGTATTATATCAGGGAGGTTAAATCATACTTTACGTGTGAACAATGTATAGAGGGGTAGTTACCATGGTTACAGAATTCAATATTCGGGCTCGGACGGGTTCTTAGGTCAGGTTGGTACTGAGAAGGGCCCTGGTTTGCACCGTACTACCCGGACCCGTGGTTAGTCACTTGTAGGGATGTGCGGTTTTATCGGTATACCAGTATATTGCAATACAAATTCATCACGATACGTTTTTGGCGTATTGGTTTTTCCCTCATTATTCAAACTGTGACTGACATGTATATGCCATGATGTATAGCCTTACCTTATTAAATCAAAACAAAGACAAAACAAATGTTTCATACTCTATATTTGATTGTAGATAAAAATAATAGTACACTTTATTAAAATTGGTTCATAATTTTGGCCAAATTGTTAACATTGCAACTTTCATATTAATATTTGTCAAAGGGATATGAAAAAAAGCTTTTCTCTTGGTAGAAATTATTTCCCAATATATTGCAATAATATTGCAATATGTTTTTGAAATATTGCAATATATCGCAATACACCTTTTGGTCTAATTCCCAACCCTAGTCACTGTTTAAAGACAAAAATGATTTAGAACTATATGGTTACACTACAAGTCACTAATCATGCTAATGCTAATATTCATATTTCTCTCTGACTAAGCACCCATTACTTCTGACTTTTAAATGTTTGAATAAAGATAAAACTTCAGTCAACTTCATTGTATGTATGACCAGATGGTTTTATAAGTGTATCTTAATATATTTTGCCAGGGCTGCGGTCAAACTATTCCCAGTCAGACATTTTGTACCTATCTCTGGGTAGGGTCAGGTAATATAGGATGGGTACCCAGGTAATAATTTTGGACTCATCCCAGCCCGAGTGCCATGATCCACTGAAAGTGTTTAGGAAATCACAGATTATAGCCGATTTAATGATTTTTGGACTGTCACCAGTATATTAGTGCTATGTGATGTGCTGTGGGAACCCGGGTTCTTCTCAGTACCAACCAGACCCAAGTACCCCAGTTACCCGTCCGTGACCTACATTGTACATCTAAATATTGAATTCTGTAACCATGGCAACTACTCCAGCATTGTGTTTGTGAACTTTCTGCCACATAAAGCGGTCAAGATCCTACGTAACTGAAACACTGTTCAATGCAATGCTTTCCTCACTATAGACAATTGGTTGTAAAATCCTATTCCTGTTTCAATGCAATGCTTGACCCAACTTTCTTACTATAGACAGTTGTCGACTAACATGATCAGGTGGTCAGGCTCGCTGGCTTGGTTTGATGCATGTCATCACATGTCAACTGCACAGGTTGATGTTCATGATGTTAATCACTGGTCCAGACTTTACAGACTGCCGTCATATAGCTGGAATATTGTGTGGTGTTAAAACAACAAACAAACATGTAGGACACATGTGTCAAGTGCTGTGGGGCGGTCGGGTAGCCTAGTGGTTAAAGCGTTCGCTCGTCACTCCGAAGACCCGGGTTCGATTCCCGACATGGGTACAATGTGTGAAGCCCATTTCTGGTGTCGCCCGGCGTGATATTGCTGGAATATTGCTGAAAGCGGCGTAAAACCATACTCACTCACTCAAGTGCTGTGTTGGTTGCAGGGGGGCAGGTCCGTGGCTGTCCCCGGGGAACTGAGGGGACTGGAGATGGCCCACAAGGAGTACGGCAAGTAGGTGGCTTAATGGAGGACATGCAACTTAAACCAATCCTTACCTGAGGCGCGTGATGGCTAAAGATTTCATTACATACCATCACATCAACTGAGACTTAAGTACAACGTAATTTGTCATCAATTTGCAACAATGGCAGCTAACAATAGCTGAAATTCACCATTTTAGTATTATTATAATCTTTATGACAGAAACCTGACTAGTGGCAATATTAAATATTACAAATGTATAATGACATTGTTGCATTATAGTTGTTCCATTGACCGTTTGAAACTTTGAGTGCTGTTTTCACTTAACTCATTTCATGTCCATGTCAAGATGTTGTACACTTTAAAGTAGGACCGTTGGAGCTGCAACTGGATTGGCGGTAAAATGCCTTCAACAGTTTATTTTATTGCATGGAAAACATGCAGACTCTCATCATGAGAGCCAGGAAGTGATTCTAGGTTGGGACTGGCTCCCAGCAACCTCTGCTGGTCATAATAAGGGACTTACATGATCAGGTGGTCAGGATCGGTAACTTGCTTCATTGCATGTCATTGAACTCTGATAACATACGGGGGCACGGGTGGCCCAGTTGTCTAAGGTGCTGCGATTCGTTGTGCAGAGTTGCGTCCCTTGGGCACGCCAGAAACCTATGATTGTGGGTTCGAATCCCGGTTCGCCCCGATTATGTTTCTAGGTTTGACAGCACCATACCCGTGCTCGTGGGTTTCACCGAAGTGGTAAACGTCTTAGACCTGCATCACTTCGGGCTTTCCTCCCACATTAAGCTGACACGCCGCGATATAACTGGAATACTGTTAAAAGCGGTGTTAAACCCAAATCACTCACTCTGATTACATGCATTGTTGCTTATAATATCAATTACTGGATTGTCTGGTCCTGACTTGTTTTGGGGCGGTCGGGTAGCCTAGTGGTTAAAGCGTTCGCTCGTCACGCCGAAAGACCCGGGTTCGATTCCCGACATGGGTACAATGTGTGAAGCCCATTTCTGGTGTCCCCCGCCGTGATATTGCTGGAATATTGCTAAAAGCGGCGTAAAACCATACTCACTCACTCACTCACCTGACTTGTTTTATATACAGGCCATTGTCATACAGCTTGATTTGTGCGGAGTGCAACATCAAACGACAAACAAACGCGGCAAACACCGTCCAACTCACTCCATGTAATAACACTATGATTGTTCCAGGGAAGCTGCAGTGATGGATGCTGTTGTTACAGGACATTCTTTCATGGCATTCTTTAATAAAAGTGATGCGAGGGCTTTCTACAGTGTTAATTTGTAATCCCATTGCTTCTGGTTGAATGATACAGAGGTAGACTTATCTCGTGGTTAGTCATTGTCTCTGCTACACTGTACAATGTGTTTTGTTCCCTAGACTGACATGGAGTGAGGTGGTGCTACCGGCTGCTGACATCGCCCGGAAAGGATTCAACATCACCCGCGATATGGGTAGGCACTGATAGTAGTAGGGGTGTCATGATAAATCGAAATATCGATATATTGCTATTGGTAAGCACTTAAAGTGAATAAATGGATTGTTACATCAGTTTCCGTTCAATAGTATCGATTTCAGATAGGAATATCGATAGTTTTGATTGTATTTACCATATCATGCGACTGAATCACCGAAACATGCTCGCAAATGCAGCCGAGTGAGGATTAGAGTTAACTGCCCTTGGTGCTTAGCAACCTTTCTTAAAGTAAAATGGTGGAGGGTGACAGTCTAGTGGAGTTTGTGACAAACTTGGGTGGAAAATCAAGTGTTTGGAAGTCTTATGGTTATCACATTCAAAGGAAACTTCACTTCCAAGGTTTAAATCAACTCTGAAATCCATCTAAAATAATATACTGAAAACTATCGATATTTATGGCAATAGTTGCTTCCAAAATCAATAGTTATCGCAATAGTTTCTTGCAATATCAATAGTTATCGCAATAGTGATTTCCAGACCAATTGTCACCCCTAGATAGTAGGGCTGTATTCCATCACTGAATATAGGCCCAGTCTTCTGCAGCCAATACAGGTTTCATACCAACTTGAAGAGTACTTGAATTAACCCTGGGCAATGAAAAATACTTGAATTTAATTGGTTCAAAAAGGTGCTTAGAACTGCTTGTCTTATTGGAGTCCCAGAGGAAATAGGAATAAACCTCTGCTTCATAGATTTACAGAAATAATTATTGCACTATTGTCACAGCTTCCTTCACCTCCTCTACAGCTGGTTGGTTTCTTGTAGAAATCTGATCTGGTTCAAGAACTAGCCTATCCTTTATTTAGATTGGGCGGGATAAGTTCAATCAGGGTTCACATGACACAGGCTTCTGTAGAAGTGTCCTCAGATCTTCATGCAGAGACGTTCTGTCAGAGATTTGTTATTGAACCAACCAAACTTAGAATAAGTTTGATAGATCATTAGCAGCACAAAAGCCTTGTTCTCACCAATACTGGTAATCGAAAGAAATATGTATGGTATCCATGGCCTGAAAGTTTGTTTAGAGTAGGATAAATGGGAAACACTTGTTTACCTGTGCAATTTAACGTTTGTTTGTCTTCTCTGAAATTGGAAGACTGAGGAAGCGGAACTTAAGCATGTATGTTTCTCTTTATTATGACATCATATTTTGTTTATTTGATTAAATTGTAATGTCAGTTTTTCATATTTATGCAGGAAATATCTGAATATCAATACTGACAAGAACTTTTGTACATTACTCTTAATAACTTCCTGTCAGGATCATGAGCAAAGCTTGATATTTAATAAGCACCTCATTCATTTGCTGCAACTTACAACAATCTACTGCCACAGTACAGTAGGTCATAAAAAATAGGCTGAGTATTCACCGATTAAAATAACCACCCTAAAACATTTTTCAACATTCACAGAATCTTATATCTGTGTTTAATTTATATGTCGATATACGCTGATACGCTGTTTGTGTTCCTGCATCACCTGTGTATCTGTATCACAAGCATCTGTATGTCTGGGAAAAGTTGCATTTTGATCCTAGCATTTGAATCTACATTTACTTTATAGTTGGACATGTTATTGTATGAGTTATGACAACAAAGAACATTCACCTTCCAATCTCATTAAAATCAGATCTCAGTTCTCGCAGCCGCTAAACAAAGATCTAAGGGCATCCCATTTGGGGTCACGTCAGAACGACCTTTCATCCTACCAATCAGAGCATCGCTTACCAGATTATGAAAGTGACAGTCGGAATGTGATTTCTAATCATGCAACCTCGAAATCTTTAACTCCGAACGATATTTACGGGTTTAACAACTGAATCCATACAATCTAGACCATCTATTAGCCATTCCAGAATGTTCTTTTGTTCAGGTTTCAAATTTGTAATCGAGAATTTGTCAAAATATTTCGAAGCGTTTGAAATTAGTGCCGTAAAGCACGAGAAAGCTGCCTTCTGATTGGTCATTCCATTGGTCGGTCAAAGTTTCCGCAAGGTCGGTCGGACGTGACCCGTAATGGGATGTCCTCAGATCTTTGTTTAGCTGTAGCGAGAACTAAGATCTGATTTTAATGAGATTGATTCTCCTTCCATTCCCTAACAGCTAATACACTGAAGTCCAAGTTCAAGGTCGAGGACTTCAAGGAGCCACTACTGAGGCAGCTGTATGTGAGAAACTATCAGTTTGTACCTGAGGGGACATTCATCCAGAGAGTGGACCTAGCCAACACTCTGGATGCCATAGCTGAGAAGGGTGCTGACGAATTCTACAAGGGAGACATCGGAAAATCTATCGTCAGGGCTGTAAGAACTCAAGCCATAATAATTTTTTATTAATAATACTTTTATCTGTCATGACTCGCATGCTTTCTTGAAAAAAAGACAAAACTTGAACTGCAGTCAAGCCCTGTTGTCTCAAACTCCTGGGGACCAGAGAAAAAGTTTGAATTTTGGGGGGTTTGACACATTCAACTCGACCTTAGTAATTAAAGACCTAGTCATCAGAGAAGTAGTATAACAATTTAAAAAGTCAGTCTTTGTCTAGGAGGGAGTGAGTTGACCAGTAATACAGTTATGTCACTGCGTGTCAGCTTGATGTGGGGGAAAGCCACAAGTGATGCAGCTCCTAGATGTGACCACTTTGGTGAAATCCACAAGCATGGGTATGGTACTGACAAACCTAGAAACATAATCAGGGCTAACAGGGATTCGAACTCACAATCATACATTTTTGGTGTGTCCAAAGGACACAAGACAGCAAATTGTGGCACCTTGGACGAATGGGGTACCCCTGCCCCACCTTTATCATTGGGGAAAGGCAGGAAAGCTTCCATACTGATTGCTTAGCTCTGTGTCTACCTGTACTGATAAGCACCAAGTATCAATACTATTAAAGACCATATTTAGAACAACAGGTTAACACACATAATTCTGATTCATCTCGTGCATGGGGCACAGGTGGCCTAGTCGTCAAAGGCATCGAGATTCGCTGTGCAGAGTTGCGTCCCTTGGGCACGCCAGAAACCTGTGATTGTGGGTTCGAATCCTGGTTCACCCTGATTATTTTTCTAGGTTTCTGATGCACATTTTTTAAATTCATTTCTCCGAATAAATATCCGAATTTAGATTTTGAAACATGCTGTAAATAACGCCGTAAATGGTGATTTAGTAATGTGTAAACAATAGAGACATTTATGATGAACCTAGTTTTTCAGAGGTCATTTTCAATCATTTTGCCTTGCCTAAAATCACAGGCAGGGATATCCCAGAACAGGGAATTTCCCACAGTATTCAAAACTGTGTAGTGTCTGTGTGTGTGATGTATTTTGAATTTTATTCGACTTCAAAGTGAGGGTTAAAGAGGAGGGACATATATGCACCTCTGGCATCCAGGGGGTTAGCATATGGATTTACTTATTTTAATTCTTGGGACTATAAATTGAGTTTGAGACAACCAGGTATTTGACATGTGCAATTCTACACATCCGGGTTAAGATAGTGGTAAATATGATAAGAGTTTGCTGGTACCCAACCTTTTTCATACACATCCAAGTTCGAGACATTATTGCTTAACTGTATTTCAAATCATGCAATAAACTATAAATATTGATTCGGTGGGTATATATTGAAGCATTACCCTGTCTTTCTTTCATTCCCTATTGCCATTTGTCAGTCATCATCACATGTGAAGGTGTTACTATTCTGTAAACCTCAGCAACTCCAAGCAACTAGACCATTGAAGCTGTCATTCCAAAAAATGACAAAAGGAATTATTTTGAGAGGTTCCTATCCAATTGTCATTTCTTGACCATTGTTCTGCCAGTTTTGCACCAGAGAAGATGAAAGCTGATAGGTGCACTGTGTAGTGGGTCTAACCATTGATGAAGCTGTAACTTGTAGTTTTGGACAGGACTGTTTCTTCTGTATTATTGCTTTGATGTCATATAAGATTTTGCATTTGTCAGATCACTCAGTGATGTGAAAATTGCACAGATCACTCACTGTTATTCTTGTGCTCATAAATCTTGAAGAATCGGAAAGGAACTCCACCTATAAAAGAGTCGGGCCACATTTGTTGCAGGTGAAGGATCATGGCGGAGTGATGACAATGGCTGACCTCGTCAGCTACCAGGTCATGAAGAGACGGGTCCTGAATACCTTCTTCAGAGGTAGCTACAGCACATGGCAACACTGTCCTCTCACTGTCGTCTCACGCAACACTGTCATCTCACTGTCATCTCACGCAACACTGTCATCTCACACAACACTGTCGTCTCACGCAACACTGTCGTCTCACTGTCGTCTCACGCAACACTATCGTCTCACTGTCGTCTCACGCAACACTGTCATCTCACACAACACTGTCGTCTCATGCAACACTGTCGTCTCACACAACACTGTCATCTCACACAACACTGTCGTCTCACACAACACTGTCGTCTCACACAACACTGACATCTCACACAACACTGACATCTCACACAACACTGTCATCTCACACAACACTGTCGTCTCACAAAAAACTGTCATCTTACACAACCCTGTCATCTCACACAACACTGTCATCTCACAAAAAACTGTCATCTCACACAACACTGTCGTCTCACAAAAAACTGTCATCTCACACAACACTGTCATCACACAACCCTGTAATCTCACACAACCCTGTCATCTCATGCAACACTGTCGTCTCACACAACCCTGTCATCTCACACAACACTGTCGTCTCACACAACCCTGTCATCTCACACAACACTGTCGTCTCACACAACCCTGTCATCTCACACAACACTGTCATCACACAACCCTGTCATCTCACACAACCCTGTCGTCAAACAACCCTGTCATCTCACTCAAGTCGTCTCACACAACCCTGTCATCTCACACAACACTGACATCTCACACAACACTGTCGTCTCACACAACACTGTCATCTCACACAACACTGTTGTCTCACACAACATTGACATCTCACACAACACTGTTGTCTCACACAACCCTGTCATCTCACACAACCCTGTCATCTCACACAACACTGTCGTCTCACACAACACTGTCATCTCACACAACACTGTCGTCTCACACAACACTGACATCTCACACAACACTGTTGTCTCACACAACCCTGTCATCTCACACAACCCTGTCATCTCACACAACACTGTCGTCTCACACAACCCTGTCATCTCACACAACACTGTCGTCTCACACAACCCTGTCATCTCACACAACACTGTCGTCTCACACAACCCTGTCATCTCACACAACACTGTCATCACACAACCCTGTCATCTCACACAACACTGTCGTCAAACAACCCTGTCATCTCACTCAAGTCGTCTCACACAACCCTGTCATCTCACACAACACTGACATCTCACACAACACTGTCGTCTCACACAACACTGTCATCTCACACAACACTGTCGTCTCACACAACACTGACATCTCACACAACACTGTTGTCTCACACAACCCTGTCATCTCACACAACACTGTCGTCTCACACAACCCTGTCATCTCACACAACACTGTCGTCTCACACAACCCTGTCATCTCACACAACACTGTCGTCTCACACAACCCTGTCATCTCACACAACACTGTCATCTCACACAACCCTGTCATCTCATGCAACACTGTCTTCTCACACAACACTGTTGTCTCACACAACCCTGTCATCTCATGCAACACTGTCGTCTCACACAACCCTGTCATCTCACACAACACTGTCATCTCACACAACCCTGTCATCTCACACAACACTGTTGTCTCACACAACCCTGTCATCTCACACAACACTGTCGTCTCACACAACCCTGTCATCTCACACAACACTGTCGTCTCACACAACCCTGTCATCTCACACAACACTGTTGTCTCACACAACCCTGTCATCTCACACAACCCTGTCATCTCACACAACACTGTCATCTCACACAACACTGTCATCTCACACAACCCTGTCATCTCACACAACCCTGTCATCTCACACAACACTGTCGTCTCACACAACCCTGTCATCTCATGCAACAGTGTCACATCTAATGCTACACTCGTCTCATGCAACAATTATCTATACAGAAAGGCACATTTCGATGTACTTTTATAAACTGGACACATTTTAGTCCTCTTTTCAGAAATTGTTGTAACTGTTTTTAACTGACATGTGTAATGTTACTATTCTGTCAGGATCCTGGCAGTATCCCTGGCATACCTACTTGCTCCATCCCATGTGGATCCTGGCTGTGGGAGGGTAGCTGACACCAAGTCCCAGTGCTTGTCATAAGAGCTGACATCACACAAGAGATACAATCATTCTGACATTTGTTTACTATAAGCAGTATGACACTCACTCCCATGTGATAATCTCTACATGTCACCATGCCATACAAGTATGTCATTGTCATGTTTTAAATCTGGGGAGGGGAACAAATAAACAAAGATTTTGGTCAGCCTCAAAGTTCATCTGATAGAATCACTCCTGACATAAACTGTGATGTTACAGGCAGTGTGGTGGTGACAATGCCTCCGCCGACGTCCGGGCCGATACTGCTGCTGATGTTGAACATGATGGAGAGGTTTAACTGGACCCAGGCCAACATCAGTGATGCAGCCACCTACCACAACATGACGGAGGTACAGTATGACACAGATCAGACAAGTGTCCGAAGTAACTGCCTGCCCCACTGCCCGTGACTGGTAACTTGTCTGTGGGGCTGTATGGAATTTTCCTCCACCTGCCCAACTGTCTGGCAGACCACTCCATATTCAGTTTTATTATTACTCCTTGTAGATTCTCCAGTAATTGTTTGCATTATTTCAACTGAAATCATGACACGATTTGTCTCCTATTTTTGCGATATTTCTACATCAATTATCAGTCGCAGACGTAACTACGTGAGACGTCTCTTGTACGCGAGACTGGTTTGGTCCACAGTACTCAGTGAAGCGATTGATACTTATTAATTCAATCACCGTGGCTGTGCTGTCAACCGCGACCTCCGTGAAAGTAATTAAAGTGCTATGTAAAGTCACCCACTGCCGAGAGGTCACGTGTGCTTTGGGGCATCCGCCTTCCTATCTTCGCATCGTATGAGCTAGCGACCAGTTATCGCCATTTTATTTCATGTTATTTCTGACATATTCCGTGTATTATGCCTGAATGCGGGCAGGTAACTTTAAAGATGGGCAGGCAACACTTTTGGGTCACCTGCCCAACTGTGTTTTGAGGTTTTAAACACTGGAGCAGGCAGATAATACCCTGATATGCACTATAAACATATCAGTTGTATGCCTTTAAAAGGATATACTTCAAACTGAAGACAAGAGTAAATTTTGGTTCCCAGGTTTTGGGGGTATCAGAAAGAACCCTGTTAAAATATTTTTAAAAAAAAGATTTTCTGTGAACAATATAGTTTTCTCTAATCTTAGCAGCACATACATATAAGTTGGTTAGTTGGTTGGTTTGTTGTTTAACGCCGCACTCCGCAATATTCCAGCTATATGACGGCGGTCTGTAAATAATCGAGTCTGGACCAGACAATCCAGTGATTAATATCATGAGCATCGATCCACGCAATTGGGATCGATGACATGCATCAACCAAGTCAGCGAGCCTGACCACCCGATCCCGTTAGTCGCCTTTTACGACAAGCATAGTCACCTTTTACGGCAAGTATATACAAGTACATACATAGAAGTAAGAATATGGTCATTGAACATTTGAAATGAAATCCAGAGTTTTAACTTCCATGGAATCAAATTGGACTTTGACTCTGTTCATAGTGATGTGTTTGTCCGGACAATATCTCTAATACGAATTGGTACTCTTTCTTGACACTGTGCATGCACAAAGACCAGGTTGTCAACTGTTGCAGAGTTGCATCCCTTTGGCACACCAACAACCTATGCATGTGGATTCAAATCCTGGTTCACCACAATTATGTGTCTAGGTTTGTCAACTCCATACCCGTCCTCGTGGGTTTCACTAAAGTGGTAAACATCTGCTACCTGCATCACTTCAGGCTTTCCTCCCACATTAAGCTGACACGCTGTGATATAACTGGAATACTGTTATGAGAGGCATTAAATCCAACTCACTCATGAACTCATGAACTCATGAACTCACTCATGAGTATCATAAAACCATATGTGCACACAAAGTTGAATATCTCTTTTATGACGGAGAGTGTGTCACAGTTGTATTTCACAGGTTCAACTTATTTTTCAGATATTCAAATATGCCTACGCCCACCAAGGTCTACTTGGAGATCCAGACTTTGTTGCAAATATGAGAAACACCTCCTTGAATATTATTGCGTAAGTATATTTTTTGTCATTCAGAATGATGCAACAATCACTGAATCCCAAACAATGGTATCAAGTCCTGCATCATTCATCTGTATTTCCACTAAATCTCTCATATTTCCCGCCACTTCAGGTAGCCTGCAGTTACCCATCTTCTTGAGGCAGGGGAGTTAACTGACTATAAAAGTCCAGTTTCCACCCTTGCCGAACAAGGCTGGAATTTCTTGGCTCGATCTTAACGCCACTAGTGGCTGTTAAGAGTTATGTCCCTTCTATGTTCCTCCTTTTGACCAATCAAATTCCACCTCTCATGTCACTTGCATTTGCTTCAAACAAAATGGCAGCACCCAGTCAAGACGATCTGATCAATAACCAAAATCTATATTGTGATAAAACGGGTCTTACTTTGCGAAGTGCATCAAATCTCGTGAGCACCTTCATCAAAAAACGTGAAACGATTTGGGAAATATTTGTTGATGGCGAATTTGGGGTACACATGCATTGCAAATCCTGCAGTCGACTGAAATCTGCACAGCAGTTTACGAACTATCGATTTCATTACGCGACTTTGATTGGACTGTTCATAGACTCATTAGTACAGCCAAAATATACTCCTAATTCCAGCCTAGTTCGTCAAGGGTGGAAACTGGACTCTTATGGTCAGTCAACTCCCTTGCCTCGGGGAGATGGCAGTTACCACACTCATGGCCTCTTAGAAACAATACTTCACATCCCACTTCACTTACCTCATGAATTGGTTAAATCCTACAAATCTCCAGAGATGTATTATCAGGGCTTAATCTAGGATTTTAAACTTATTGTCCTTGGCAGGCAAACTGGGCGAAAATCAGTATTTTGTTCATAATTGGGATTCTGTAAGATTTCCTATTTTCACTAATTCTGAGGTATTATAACATTGCGTTCTGTTCAATAATGTAAAACTAAGTATTAAAGCGTCTTCCTCTTTATTTATCCTGCCTGCAGCAAATGTCAGTCAAAATTCCCCACAAAATGCCAAAAAAAACTAATGTCATGGCTTTGTAGTCTTTGATCAGGGTTATTTCACAAACAATGAGAACAATTAGAATATATGTGTCAATAACCAATAATAAATTCCCCAATATTGATCTTGCAAAGGAAAAAAATGATAGTTTGTGTTTAGAAATATTCATTATTTGTTTAAATTATTAAACTTGTTTTTCAGAAAAAAATATGCCATTGAGCTGGCCAAACTTGTTGACAATGAAACCCACCCAATCTCCCACTATCATCCGCTGTATGCTCCGGAGGTAAACAAAGGCACGACACATGTGTCTATTGTCGACTCTACTGAACTGATGGTTTCTGTGACATCGTGAGTATGCTCTTGCATTAGGATAAACTGCAACACTGATGCGTACAGAATCTTTGGATCATATTGCCTGTGTTAGGTTCCACCTCTTCCTTTGATAATCATTTTATGTTGAAGTTAAGGTAAAGAACAATCTTAACATAACAGAACTCCAGATAACTTTTTGAGCAATTGAGTTTTTACTTGAGTTTTTACTCAAAGGGTAATTACATTTATTCATTGGGTGACCAATATTTTTTCACTCATCTATTTATCACTCTATTGGGTTTTTCCCAAAATGAGTAAACATTTTAAGATTTACAAAAAATGAAAGAATGTTATAGATGTATATAACGGTTCTAAATATATAGGATCGACTCTGGAAGTAAATTAGCTTGTAATTGTGTTTCGAAAATTAGCGTCCTTGTACACATGCTGATAAAGCTTCATTGGCTATCTACACGTGCTGTTTTTATACGTTTGAGTTTTCCATTTAATGCATGCGTTTCTGTACGCAAGTTAATTGAAAGTAATTGGGTTTTGTATATTTCGAGGGGGTATTTTACGCAAATATGCTGCTTATCTGTACCTCTGACATAACAATAAAAGAAAATCTATATAAATCAAGTCTTTGACAGACATTTAGAAGTTGGAAGAACATGAAGATGAGAAACTGTATGGATGACAAGTTCCTACTAGTACAAGCAGCCATACACACTGCTGAGTTGACACTTATTGAAAGTTGACTTTATGCTTTTGTGTTCATTAATGATTGTAACATTAAGATAAGGCTGACAGAAATCGTAGTGTTAGTTCTCAGGCACCACCCGCATCATCATAAAGTCTGCCGTACGCTTCGTTTTTTATTTCCATTGTCAGAACCCAAAATATCCTAATATTTGAAAACAATGCAATCTCCAAAATAGCACACAGTTAATTCCCTTTACATGCTCACTGCTCTACTACGCATCTGGTGTTATTGGGGGCGGTCGGGTAGCCTAGTGGTTAAAGCGTTCGCTCGTCACGCCGAAGACCCGGGTTCGATTCCCGACATGGGTACAATGTGTGAAGCCCATTTCTGGTGTCCCCCGCCGTGATATTGCTGGAATATTGCTAAAAGCGGCGTAAAACCATACTCACTCACTCACTCACTCTGGTGTTATTGTTATGGTTATGGCGGCAGTAGGAGTTTGAGTGCTTGTTAATGTAAGGGGGCCCTTTCCCAGGTTGATGGTACACTGTTTATTTGGTTAAATACTACATGTAACCAAAACAAGCCAAAAAAAAACAAAACACTGCCCGCCTGCACTATATTTTCAAAAGTTATTGCCTGAGAACCAATTCTTTTATATTTTTAAGACTAACAAAACATGCTACTGTATTGTTAATATATGATCATGTTTACCTGTGGTTTGCAGCCATTATTTGTTGGATAGATGATGTAGTTATTGGTGCTCATGCATATACAGAATTTGAAAGTTCTTGATTCATGGTCAAGATGGCCTACCTCCAAAACAAAACTCTGCCATCGTTGACTCACCCATACATGGGCAGCCTGGGTTCTGAGTGTGTTGTCTGGCCTTATTATAATGATGAAAAGAAAGTTTAAGTTAGAAATAATGAATTTATTGAAATCTCTTGATGAACTATGGGATTGTACAGTGAGCATGTAACAAGACTCAAATCATGTAATCAGAGCTCCAAACAAGCTGCATATCTGCGTAAAATATGTATAAGAAATGCAGAAATGCCCAGTAAAATAAAATTCAAGCGTATCAAATACGCAACGAACATTACAGATACGCTACGAAAAAAAAACTTGTGAGTATCATCAAAATATTGTGAAGTAACCCTGCGTATTCTATTAGCAAATCAGCAACTTATTTTGAAATTATAAACGGGCATTCCGTCAACCTTGCCAAACTCCACGATGACAGTGACATCATAATCATTTGCCATCACACTTTCTTGTGGAAGTATCATGGTATTTTTGAGTCCTATAAAGCTCTCAAACCTACACGACACCAGTTTGCAGGGACTAGATGAATACTGTTTTCAAATATTTAACTTGAATACCCACATGTGTAAAAACTAGTGCGTAACAGAAATTTGAATACCCAGATAGAATTACTGATACCCAATGATTTTAAAATGCATGGGTAAAATACCCACATTACCAAAAGCTTATCTGGAGCTCTGTGTAATATTGAACAGCAACATGCAAGCATTAGACATGCAGTGTTAATAATTCTGATATGTTCCAGGTCCATCAACCAGCTGTTTGGGTCCGGGATCATGACCACCTCGGGCATTATACTCAACAATGAAATGGGAGACTTCTCATTCCCAAACTTCACTCATGTCAAGGATATGCCAGCAAATGTGGTAAGTTATGGTGTCACAGTATTCTGAGTTACGTGACATCGCTGTCTCACTCACTCTCAGACACAGAGGGCAAGTCATCTAAGGCGCCATGATTCTGTGTGCCCTGTGTATGGTATTGTAAGCTGACAGACATCACTGTGAAAGCTGTCTCTCAACATGCTGACAACACAAATTCGAATCGAAATTCAAATTCGAAAAGTTTTTGTATTGCAGACTTTCAAGTTCCTTCACTCACTCACTGACTCATCCATTCATTACTTCAGTGCTCACTCACCTACTCATTCCTTCACTCATTCACCCACTCATTCCTTCACTCACTCACCTTCTTATTCCTTCACTCACTCCCCCACTCATTCCTTCACTCACTCACTCACCTTCTCATTCCTTCACTCACTCACCCACTCATTCCTTCACTCACTCACTCACCTTCTCATTCCTTCACTCACTCACCCACTCATTCCTTCACTCACTCACTCACCCACTCATTCCTTCACTCACTCACCCACTCATTCCTTCACTCACTCACTCACCTTCTCATTCCTTCACTCACTCACCCACTCATTCCTTCACTCACTCACTCACCTCATTCCTTCACTCACTCACCCACTCATTCCTTCACTCACTCACCTTCTCATTCCTTCACTCACTCACCCACTCATTTATTCATTCACTCACCCACTCATTCCTTCACTCACTCGCTCACTCACCTACTCATTCCTTCACTCACTCACCCACTCATTCCTTCACTCACTCACTCACTCACCTTCTCATTCCTTCACTCACTCACCCACTCATTCCTTCACTCTTCACTCACCTACTCATTCCTTCACTCACTCACCCTCTCATTCCTTCACTCACCCACTCATTTATTCATTCACTCACCCACTCATTCCTTCACTCACTCGCTGACTCATCTATTCATTACTTCAGTGCTCACTCACCTACTCATTCCTTCATTTTCTCACCCACTGATTCCTTCATTCTCTCACTCACCTACTCATTCCTTCATTTTCTCACCCACTCATTCCTTCATTCCTTCATTCTCTCACTCACCCACTCATTCCTTCATTTTCTCACCCACTCATTCCTTCATTCTCTCACTCACCTACTCATTCCTTCACTCACTCACCCACTCATTCCTTCATTCTCTCACCCACTCATTCCTTCACTCACTCACTCACCTACTCATTCCTTCACTCACTCACCTACTCATTCCTTCACTCACTCATCTATTCATTCCTTCATTCTCTCACTCACCCACTCATTCCTTCATTCACTCACCAACTCATTCCTTTATTCTCTCACTCACCTACTCATTCCTTCACTCACTCACCTACTCATTCCTTCACTCACTCACCTACTCATTCCTTCATTCTCTCACCCACTCATTCCTTCATTCTCTCACTCACCCACTCATTCCTTCATTCTCTCACTCACCTACTAATTCCTTCACTCACTCACCTACTCATTCCTTCACTCACTCACCTACTCATTCCTTCATTCTCTCACCCACCCATTCCTTCATTCTCTCACTCACCCACTCATTCCTTCATTCTCTCACTCACCTACTAATTCCTTCACTCACTCACCTACTCATTCCTTCATTCTCTCACCCACTCATTCCTTCATTCTCTCACCCACTCATTCCTTCATTCTCTCACCCCCTCATTCCTTCATTCTCTCACTCACCTACTCATTCCTTCATTCTCTCGACCGCCTCCGTGGTCTTGTGGTAGAGCGTCCGCCCGGAGAGTGGAAGGTCCAGGGTTCGATCCCGGGCCGCGTCATACAAAAAGACGTTAAAAGATTGTACTTGTTGTTACCCTGTCTGGCGCTCGGCATTAAGGGGCTAAAACAAGGACTGGTCGGCTCGGAGTCAGTATACTGTGTCTGAGTGGGGTATTCATGTTAAACTGCGGCATGGTATCTCAGTGAGCTAGCACTATAAATCGGCATCAGTCCGGACTAGTACAAGCAGCCACACAAACACATACACGTACATGCACGTCGCTATATAAGCGCAATAATCTTGGACGCGACGTTAAACCCAATTTCACCTCACCTTCACCTCACCTTCATTCTCTCACCCACTCATTCCTTCATTCTCTCACTCACCTACTAATTCCTTCATTCTCTCACCCACTCATTGCTTCATTCTCTCACCCACTCATTCCTTCATTCTCTCACTCGCCCACTCATTCCTTCACTCACTCGCTGACTCATCTATTCATTACTTCAGTGCTCACTCACCTACTCATTCCTTCCTTCACTCACCCACTCATTCCTTCACTCACTCATTGGGTGGCAGGCCCAGATTCAGTCTCATGTTGATTCTTATTCTGACAGCACCATTATCTGTGCATGACCAGTATCGCATTGATCTTTCCACTGACACAAAGCTAACACAATGTGATGTAACTAAAATACTGTTCCAAGTTAAACTTTGACTCTATACTGTATGTAGGAACAGCTCAGCGAGTGTATATTTGTTTTCAGAATAATTTTCTCGAGCCAGGCAAACCGAAGCGCCCCCTGTCCTCCATGGTGCCAACCGTTATCTACAACCCAAGCTACCCCTGTGCACTGAGGATGGCCATCGGCGGATCAAACGGAAGCCGGATCATTACAGGTGAAGAAGACTCATACATGTAGTACATTAGAAAATCATAAAGATTATTTTCAGCAATTAAACTAAAAGACTTATTAAAAGCCCTGTAGCCCAGATGTTCAGATTAAAATGTGCTAAAATAATGCATCGACGAGTTCTGGCTAGTTGAAGAATGTTTCACCGAGTCATGATCAAAGGAAGGGAGGTAACTCTTGCTGCCCTAACATCCTTGTTGATTCCAGGAATGTTACACCCAATTGGACCGTGTAGTCAGTATTGAGCTTAGATCATGTGCAGATAATTCTGTTGAAAGTGGATCGTACCTTATAACATCAATCACTGGATTGTCTGGTCAGACTCAGTGTTTTTACAGGCCACCATCATATAGCTGGAATATTGCTGAGTGTACCATTATACAAACAGTTCAAGAACCAGTTAATTCTAGGACCAAAGAAGACTTTATTCTCTTTACAAGAAGTTTCCAGTTGCCAGAGGCGACATATACAGCATTTAATTCTAAAGGAAAATTGTAGTGGTAGACATCCTATGGAACCTTATTTCTTTTTGGCTTTTATCAATGTGTATTTTTGTTGTTGGAGAACCTGAAGGTCCAATATATATAATTCAGCCTAACATGTGTGACACTAAATTGTTTTTGCAGGAGTTGCTGAGACAATTGCTAATGTGATGGCGTTTGGAATGGGTCAGGATATAGCTCGTGCTATTGAGAGACCAAGGATTTATGACAATCTGTTTTCAAACACCACAGAATACGAAGGTAAGAGTGCAACGAGTAGTGCTTATAGAGTCCATCTTCATAGTTATGCTATATAGAGTCCAAAGATTTGAGGTGTTGCTATATAGAGTCCAAAGATTTGAGGTGGTGCTATATAGAGTCCAAAGATTTGAGGTGGAGCTGTATCGTATCCAAGATCTATGGTGGTGCTATATAGAGTCCAAAGATTTGAGGTGGTGCTATATAGAGTCCAAAAATTTGAGGTGGAGCTGTATCGTATCCAAGATCCATGGTGGTGCTATGTAGAGTCCAAGGTTTCATGGTGGTGCTATGTAGAGTCCAAAGATTGGAGGTGGAGCTGTATCGTATCCAAAGATCCATGGTGGTGCTATGTAAAGTCCAAGGTTTCATGGTGGTGCTATATAGAGTCCAAAGATTTGAGGTGGAGCTGTATCGTATCCAAAGATCCATGGTGGTGCTATGTAGAGTCCAAGGTTTCCTGGTGGCGCTATGTAGAGTCCAAAGTTTCCTGGTGGCGCTATGTAGAGTCCAAGGTTTCCTGGTGGCACTATGTAGAGTCCAAAGTTTCCTGTAGGTGCTATGTAGAGTCCAAGGTTTCATGGTGGTGCTATATAGAGTCCAAAGATTTAAAGTGGAGCTGTATCGTATCCAAAGTTTCATGGTGGTGCTATGTAGAGTCCAAGGTTTCATGGTGGTGCTAAATAGAGTCCAAAGATTTGAGGTGGAGCTGTATTGTATCCAAAGATCCGTGGTGGGGCTATGTAGAGTCCAAGGTTTCATGGTGGCGCTATGTAGAGTCCAAAGTTTCCTGGTGGCGCTATGTAGAGTCCAAGGTTTCCTGGTGGCACTATGAAGAGTCCAAAGTTTCATGGTGGTGCTATGTAGAGTCCAAGGTTTCATGGTGGTGCTATATAGAGTCCAAAGATTTGAGGTGGAGCTGTATCTTATCCAAAGATCCATGGTGGTGCTATGTAGAGTCCAAGGTTTCATGGTGGTGCTATATAGAGTCCAAAGATTTGAGATGGAGCTGTATCGTATCCAAAGATCCATGGTGGGGCTATGTAGAGTCCAAGGTTTCATGGTGGCGCTATGTAGAGTCCAAAGTTTCCTGGTGGCGCTATGTAGAGTCCAAGGTTTCATGGTGGTGCTATATAGAGTCCAAAGATTTGAGGTGGAGCTGTATCGTATCCAAAGATCCATGGTGGGGCTATGTAGAGTCCAAGGTTTCATGGTGGCGCTATGTAGAGTCCAAAGTTTCCTGGTGGCGCTATGTAGAGTCCAAGGTTTCCTGGTGGCACTATGTAGAGTCCAAAGTTTCCTGTAGGTGCTATGTAGAGTCCAAGGTTTCATGGTGGTGCTATATAGAGTCCAAAGATTTAAAGTGGAGCTGTATCGTATCCAAAGTTTCATGGTGGTGCTATGTAGAGTCCAAGGTTTCATGGTGGTGCTAAATAGAGTCCAAAGATTTGAGGTGGAGCTGTATTGTATCCAAAGATCCGTGGTGGGGCTATGTAGAGTCCAAGGTTTCATGGTGGCGCTATGTAGAGTCCAAAGTTTCCTGGTGGCGCTATGTAGAGTCCAAGGTTTCCTGGTGGCACTATGAAGAGTCCAAAGTTTCATGGTGGTGCTATGTAGAGTCCAAGGTTTCATGGTGGTGCTATATAGAGTCCAAAGATTTGAGGTGGAGCTGTATCTTATCCAAAGATCCATGGTGGTGCTATGTAGAGTCCAAGGTTTCATGGTGGTGCTATATAGAGTCCAAAGATTTGAGATGGAGCTGTATCGTATCCAAAGATCCATGGTGGGGCTATGTAGAGTCCAAGGTTTCATGGTGGCGCTATGTAGAGTCCAAAGTTTCCTGGTGGCGCTATGTAGAGTCCAAGGTTTCATGGTGGTGCTATATAGAGTCCAAAGATTTGAGGTGGAGCTGTTTCGTATCCAAAGATCCATGGTGGGGCTATGTAGAGTCCAAGGTTTCATGGTGGCGCTATGTAGAGTCCAAAGTTTCCTGGTGGTGCTATGTAGAGTCCAAGGTTTCATGGTGGTGCTATATAGAGTCCAAAGATTTGAGGTGGAGCTGTATCGTATCCAAAGATCCATGGTGGGGCTGTGTAGAGTCCAAGGTTTCATGGTGGCGCTATGTAGAGTCCAAAGTTTCCTGGTGGCGCTATGTAGAGTCCAAGGTTTCCTGGTGGCACTATGTAGAGTCCAAAGTTTTCTGGTGGTGCTATGTAGAGTCCAAGGTTTCATGGTGGTGCTTTATAGAGTCCAAAGATTTGAGGTGGAGCTGTATCTTATCCAAAGATCCATGGTGGTGCTATGTAGAGTCCAAGGTTTCATGGTGGTGCTATGTAGAGTCCAAGGTTTCATGGTGGTGCTATGTAGAGTCCAAGGTTTCATGGTGGCACTTTGTAGAGTCCAAGGTTTCATGGTGGTGCTATGTAGAGTCCAAGGTTTCATGGTGGTGCTATGTAGAGTCCAAGGTTTCATGGTGGTGCTATGTAGAGTCCAAGGCTTTATGATGGTGCACAAAGGCCTAAAGCCTCACAGTTTGCTTTGCGGAGTTACATCCCTTTGGTATGCTCGAAACGTAAGATCCTGGGTTAAAATCTCTGTACACCCTGATAATGTTTCTAGATTTTTCAGCACCATACCTATGCGCCTGGGTTTCAGCAGTGTGGTAAAGAACCGGAATCACTCTTTTGCCCCCACATCGAACTTACACGCTGTGATAGAACTGAAATACTGTTCAAAAGAAGTGTTAAACCCAACTCACTCACTCACTTATCACAGTAGGAATCATCTATGACCTTTGAGTGAAATACAGGTTTAAACATACCACTCACTCACTCACTCACTTGCAACATATCGTTATGAAAATACTAAAGGTGTTGTCTGCGACTTACTAAACATTCGAAACCAGGGGCAAGTACACTTTATTTTTGTAAGCCAGGATGATAGTCTAAATGTTCAAAATAAAATCTGCTAAAAATAAGCCTAAGGACAAGTTCATGCTGTCAGATAGAAAGGGTTTTTCATGGAGATGAATGTTCAACTCTTGGTGTGGGGAGAAGCAAGCAAGCACATTAAGGGGAGGTAACTCCTTTCACCATAACGTCCATCTTTGCTATGTAAGGCAGGTTACATCAAGGTTAATATAGAAAATGAATGTCAAGATGTAACATGATATTCAGGCTCAGCTCCTGTAGTTATAAGTTTGTTTTCCTATTGTTTTTCGATTAAAAATGGTTGCAAGTTATGAATTTACTCTTTAGGCACCTCATTGGTATTCCAAGTTACTGGTTGATAGATTCCAAGTTACTGGTTGATAGGGTGTCATCATACCCCGACAGCAGGGATCGCTGCTCACAATATCAAGCACAGAATTGTCTGACTCCATTACTTACAAGTCACTGTCATGGAACTAGGAGATTTCTGAGTGTGGAGTGAAACAACAAACAAACTTATTTGGCAAACATGTGACCTTGCCCCAACAGAAATACTTCTGTAATAACCCACCCTAACTAAATGGAAGTTAATTAAGCAATAATTAAGCACCTCTGTCCTAGACGATACCCCAGTAACTGCTTCTTCGGCTTCTGATTTGTTTTGTTGACTAATGCCGGCTTTATCGTGCTAGCCCACTGAGATAGAAGTATACCCCTGACTCCGAGCTGACCAGTCCTTGTTTCAGCTCCTTAACAGGTAACAACAAATAAGTACCATCTTTAAAGGTCTTTTAGTATGAAGGGCGGTCGGGTAGCCTAGTGGTTTAAGCGTTCGCTCGTCACGCCAAGGACCCGGGTTCGATTCCCAACATGGGTACAATGTGTGAAGCCGATTTCTGGTGTCCCCCACCGTGATATTGCTGGAATAATGCTAAAGGCCGTGTAAAACCATACTCACTCACTCACTCTCATTTGTTTCAATGCCAAGAAGCAGACATCTTCAAGGGGTTTTAATGGGGACGTGGGTGTTGAGAGGAATGCTCCATGAATTTGGGCACATTGACATGCCATTAAAGTCACACCGTCGGACCAACTGATTTATTTAAATCGCTTCATACGGTTAGCATAGGCTGCTAAGTGTAGGATAAAACACAACTCATGCTTGGGATTGTAAGACCCGTGGAAAGAACCCAGAGGCAAAGTGAGTGAGTGAGTGAATATGATTTCACGCCACTTTTAGCAATATTCCAGCAATATCACGGCAGGTCTGAGGCAAAGCCCAAGGTTTTGCTTTCCCTAAGTTTTCTTCCCGAGGATCTTACACTTCCAAGCATTACTGAGGAGTGTTTCACACGCTGGCCAGAGAAGTAGCTGAGAGGAGATAGGAATACAGTTTACTCGGATTCAATATTTCTGATTTGTTGTCTGATGTTTTGTTGCAGCATTGTTCCTCATATCCGTCGTTGATGATATGAAAAAGAGAGGTCACAACATGGTCAAGGTCACCGAAGGTCTCAGCGTCGTTCAAGCAGTGGCCAAAGTCAACGATGATATCTTCGCCCACTCTGACTCCCGCAAGTCTGGGAAAGCAGCTTTGTTTAAATAGCAGATGGAAAGTAAAACATTCCAGTTTTACATTCCATTTGCTCAAGATGAAACCTCTGGTTTGTGTGTAGCATGGGTTGTGATGAAAGACATGCTACCTTTAGAGAAGTGATTTTACCCTGTTTTTGTTCTCTTTTTTTCCTTTTTGTCCAAATATTGACTTTTAATGTTTGGAATAAGGTTTGGTACATTGACCTAAGAAATCATGAATTGTGTATTCTTTAGCCCATGCTGACAGTTTTATTTACTATATATTTGGCTTATTGGAATTGAGTATTTGGGTATATCTAGAGATATATAAGTCACCCAGGTGGTGGGGTAGCCTCGTGGTTAAGGCGTTCACTCACCACGCTGAAGACACAGGTTTATTTCCCCACATGGGTATCATGTGTGAAGCCCATTTCTGGTGTTCCCCCCACCGTGTTATTGCTGGAATATTGGTGTAAAACCATACTCACTCACTCACTCACTATAAGACATGCAGCATTTACCCGTCTTTGCATGTTATGGTGCAGAGTATATTGATGTTATGTCATGAAGCAAAGGTGTTCTCCTAAACGAGTTTCCTCGCAACTAATCATGTAATTCTTAGATTTAATGTTCCTGTCGCAGGGTTAGGAATCCATTTAATTATAAATGTGTGTAGTATATTGTGTTAGTTCTAGATTCCTTTTGTCTACTTCCCTCGTTCAGGCACTGTTTTCAAAGATGCAAGCAATATCAAATTTATTATTTCCGTGCAGTCTTAGATTGTCCTTGTTCCAACAGTTATTTATGTTTTGGGAATAATAATAATAATAATAATAATAATAAAGCAGTGTGTGTATAATGTAGACGTTAGCCATAACACTCCTTGTCCTTATTACATCCAGGGGTCGGGTAGCCTAGTGGTTAAAGCGTTTGCCCGTAATGCAGTGTGTGTATAATGTAGAAGTTAGCCATAACACTCCTTGTCCTTATTACATCCAGGGGTCAGGTAGCCTAGTGGTTAAAGCGTTTGCCCGTCACACGGAAGACCCGGGTTCGATTCCTGACATGGGTACAATGTGTGAGGCCCATTCCTGGTGTACCCCGCCATGATATTGCTGGAATATTGCTAAAAGTGGCGTAAAACCATACTCACTCACTCACCTTATTACATCCAACTTCTCAATACCAGTGAAGACTCCAGTCATGTCCGTGTTGGAAACATGGGCCAGTGGTGATCTTATGCAGCATAATACACACTGTCTTGTGGTCCTGAGGGCTTGGACACCCAGGGCACAGTTGTGTTCCTTTCATGTGCCAGGTCATGGGTTTCAACCCCAAATATCTTTCTCATTATGATCTTGTTACGAACACCTTTGTGAAATGGGGGTCTACAGTGCATGTCAGGTAACACTCATGTGTCCTAGTCTATAGCCCACGGTACAGAGTTATGTCCTGTAGTTGCACCAGGATCTGCTGATATAACGATTGTGGGTTTGAATCGATTTGCCCTGATTATGATTATGGGTTTGGCAGCACCCTACCCGTTCTCATGGGTTTCGTGGGTAAACGTCTACAATCTGCATCACTTCCTCCAACAGATGATGCCCTTCATATGAATGAAATACTCTTTGTAACCCAGTGTAAGGAGTGTTTTTGGAGATTGATGATACTGGTCGTTAACCAGCAGCTTGTCAGTCAGTCATGTAATTTACTGAAAGGCCTTCGCGTACATCAATGTTTATTTCTAGGTTTGTCAACACCATATTCGTGCTTGTGGATTTCATCAGTGTGATAAACATGCATGACATGCTTCACTCTTGCCCTCCAGCATGGAGCCTTCATGAAGTAATTGAAATACTCGTACAATTGGGGTAAGGCCCACTCACTCACTCACACAATACCATGTTCTGGTGTTCCTTCATGAAGTAATTGAAATACTCGTACAATTGGGGTAAGGCCCACTCACTCACTCACACAATACCATGTTCTGGTGTTCCTTGGTAGGGAACAGCCTGTTAGCTTTTTTATGTACTGACCAATCTGTTCTTCCATCAATTGGGTTGAGCTTTGATTTATGTAAATTTGTGAGCGAAAGAAATGTGTTTACATTATTTCAAACACAACTGTATACATTTTGTATATTTTAATGTTTGTCGGAAAATAAGTGGCATTTTAAACTGGATCTGTGTGCAATATTTTGCCTGTTTTGTGAATATTCTATTCATATACAATTTATAAACAAATACACATATTCATCATACATTCCATGAAAGGGTTGAGGTGAGCAATGAAGAATTATTGTTATGCTCTTCCTACATTCCATGATGTGTGGACCCGTGAAGATCTTCAGCAACCCATTCTTGTCGTAAAAGGCCACTATGCTTGTCGTAAGAGGCAACTAACGAGATCGGGTGGTCAAGCTTGCTGACTTGATTGATGCATGTCATTGTATCCCAATTGCGTGGATCAATACTCATGATGTCAATCACTAGATTGTCTGGTCCAGACTCAATTATTTACAGACCACCAACATATGGATGGAATATTGCTGAGTGCGGCGTTAAACAAACAAACAAATCCTTGAAGTTTGCTTCATCATTTCCACCTCCTCATTTTGATCTGTGAATTCACTGATGTTTCACACATATAGATCACATGCTTAATTCCAATTCAAAATTCTAAGCATAGGTAGATAGACCCCAGGTACCCTTCTGTATGCTGAAATGTACCCTAACCAAAATAGCAATACCGGTTGAAACAACCAGATGCCATGCCACATGATTTAACTGGATCTTGGACTGCGACACTACAAAGCCTACAAAGGGGCAGGTTTTGCACATTGTCGAATTGATTCCAGTCTCGTAACTGGCATAACATTCTACATGCAGGACAACCAAAAGTCCATTACATATACATGTACCACAAGTGCCCTGACATCAGTGCTGTTGACAAGTCACTACATATACCACCATTGCCCTGACATCAGTGCTGGTGACAAGTCACTACATATACCACCAGTGCCCTGACATCAGTGCTGGTGACAAGTCACTACATATACCACCAGTGCCCTGACATCAGTGCTGGTGACAAGTCACTACATATACCACCAGTGCTGGTGACAAGTCACTACATATACCACCAGTGCCCTGACATCAGTGCTGGTGACAAGTCACTACATATACCACCAGTGCCCTGACATCAGTGCTGGTGACAAGTCACTACATATACCACCAGTGCTGGTGACAAGTCACTACATATACCACCAGTGCCCTGACATCAGTGCTGGTGACAAGTCACTACATATACCACCAGTGCCCTGACATCAGTGCTGGTGACAAGTCACTACATATACCACCAGTGCCCTGACATCAGTGCTGGTGATTATTCATTCGTTATCGCCGTGTTATTGTTGAGTTGTTTCCTCACTTGACATGGAATTGAATGTATGTAAAGATGAGGTCCTCCCCACTCATCGTGTTTGCTTCCAGGACAGTGTTATATCTTCCTTCAAGTAGTTTGTGTTTTTATCTCCATAATTGACATTTGCATAATATTGTGTTGTCATAATTACAACCGATTGTGATTTAGTTGACTGTTCAGTTATGAAATTATGAACTTGAAAATATTCTTAGTATCAATAATATATATATGACAGATTAACTATAGTAACATGAAAGAATCCGATGTTCTTGAACTTCTTTTGAGTAGTATATATAACTCGGGTTGTATCAGAACAACAGCATGTAAATAATCCAATAGGTCCACACACAAATATTTATGGAAATTCAGATCTCAGAATACAAAGTATTTATATGTTTTAGTAGTGGGGATATGTTTTGTAATGGACATTGTTTGATGAATAATCTTTGTTTTCATCCAGTTCATATTGTTTTTAATTGCTCAACGTAGTGGTTTGAATCTCCCATCCAGAATTACTTCTATCAGTTAATATAAGAATCATAATCTAACAAAAGGAAGAAAATTGATGCTGTCAATTTCTTTATTATGAGGAACACATAATTGTGTTCCTCATAATAAAGAAGTAGACATCCATTAATTCTCTTCCTTAAGTGTATCGCTTCTAAATGCCTTTCAAAGACATAATCTAACAGACTTAGATATCTGACAAAGTAGATATAAACTGATAGGATATTGAAATGGTAATATAGAAATATACCCCCAAAAATTGATATGGTTATGAAAGTTATCAGATATGCTTTTTTCTGTGTATCACTTGTAGGTTTTGGAGTTGTGACATCAACCACAGAGCTATAGTTAAAACTGAATGAAAAAGGCTGGTTTTCAAACATTTGGAGAAAATCTGACATTTAGCACATCATTGACCAAACAAGACTTGACAAGTCAAGACTAAGACTAAGATTATTACCTGTGTCGGAGAAAATCATGTACACGTGAGAAAAACACATCCTGAAACCCCGAAAACCAGCCTATGCATCACTACATGTGGTGGTGTCAAAAGTGTATTGCATATAAATATGGAAATGATTGAAATCTCAGAGCTCACCTGATAATTTTCATAACAGTTACAAATAGGTTTCCTCAGTATCGGGCCAATTCCTCCCTACTCTCCCCCACCCCCACCCCTGTCTCCCCCAGCCTATTGCACCCCGGCCTGTTTATTTATCCCCAGGTCTAATCCTCTCCACTCCCCTCTCCCCGGGGCAGTAGACCTATTATGTAGATCTAGAGGGTACTCATCTGTCCTTTCTTGGATATTTCAAGAATACAAACCTGAGATTTGAAGCATATAATATCAGCTTGACTTTCATAAACACACAATATTTCATTTACCCTTGTTTGGTGACATGGTTTGGGAAGGTAATTGGTGTTCTTCGATCATTTCTACATATTTGTTGATCCTACTGTTTATGTAAATACAGATTTAAGGGGTTGTTAATGCCTTCAAAATTTGACAATCGATGCCCATTCCGTGGGATATTTTTGTACCCATTTGACTGTGTCCTGTTCCTGCATTTGTGAAGGATCATTGTCACACAGGGCTACAGCCAGTGTTATTTCAGTATGGCAAAAATATTTCTGCAACAAATAAAAGAAATAATTTTTAGCATGGAGATGGAAAAAATACCCAGAAATTGTGCGTGTCCATTATTTTGTGACCATGGTAAATCAGTATTGTATTATCACAGTGCTATTGTGCTGGGCCGTTATCACTGTCATTGTCACACATGGCTACAGCCCGTGTTATTTCAGTATGGCAAAAATATTTCTGCAACAAATAAAAGAAATAATTTTTAGCATGGAGATGGAGAAAATACCCAGAAATTGTGTGTGTCCATTATGTTGTGACTGTGATAAATCAGTATTGTATTATCACAGTGCTATTCCTTGATGTGAATCAACTTACTGGAATCACTGTCTTGGACATGTATGACTGAACATGGAACCAACAACTTGAAATCATACCAAGCAGGTGATTTTGTACTTATCTGATGCTCCACAGTGCACCCACATTGTGACAGTGGTTTTACTACACTGACATGACATAGAAATGTTTTCAAGGATTATTTCTGGTGCTTGAGGTGTAGCCCCAACCGAAGCAGAGCAGGCTCCCGTGTGAGAGCCACACAATAGTGTCAAGAGTCCTACAAGCATCACTTCTCTACATTCCTCATCATCGAGCCAGCTTCCAACAACTGTTTCAGGAAATCAGTGGCTCGACGGTCAGGGTTGCTTCCTTACTAGGTTTGAATCCCATATTTGCTCTGATTATGATCCCAGGTTAGTCAGCACCACACCAATGTTTTTGGGTTCCAAGTGGTTTAATGTCTATGATCTTTGGCTTTCCTCCCACATTATGCTGATGTTCTGTGATAAAAAACGAAATGTTGATAACCCACTCACTCATTTTAATGTATTTTGTGTTATATTTGCTGTGTATTATGTTTTTTTATTAGATCTGTTTATGTCTTTCTTCCTTGAACTGTGATGGTGATACTTATACCAGGACATATTTGACCATACTCCACAACCCCTTGCCAGTGAATTAACAACAGAAAATAAACTAAACGTTGGAAAATTGTAATTTGAAACAAACACAACACACCCCTTCCCTGATATGATACATAGATAATTGCTCAGAAATAATATTCCCAAGAGATGACAAATTGCACTTCTGGTTGGCATGTATTATTCGCAGTATGTAACAATATGTTTCCTGCATTCTTATATCTTGTCAATACAGAAGATAATCTGGGCCACCAGCAATACATTCCTGACTATTTGATTACCAGTGTGATTGGAAAATACACATTTGTATGACATAAATGAAAAATAATTTAGCCTATTGAATTTTGGAATTCAGTTTGACATTAATTCAATTAATTCACTGGCAATTAATTCTCTCACTTTGAATTCTTATACCAACACATTTGGAATTGAGAGTATTTTTGTCAATAATACTTGGCACATTTCGTGCCCCAGGAATACCTCTGTTCCAGACTTTGCCTGAGTCCAAGACAACCTGTCTGTGTCCAGACCAACTAGACCAAATGTGGAATTTAGACTGTGAAATAGATGGTTTATGGTTTATAGAGAGATAGTTAAATAATGTTAAAATATCATTGTTGTTTATGGAATTTGTTAATCTATATGTGGTCAAACTGTCAATAAAGTAAAGATATTTATCAAGTTTGTTTGTGCATGTTATTTAGCACTTTACTCAAAGGTAGGATTTGGTTGCATTAAGTGTTAAAGATTATGTGACTTGTGAACCATTGAACATGCATCTCAAAAGTACAACATATTATGTCCAATTATGTCCTGGATTATGTCCCGTTTCCTTCATATACTTAGGGGTGAGAAGACTGTTGTGTTGAAAGTTATGGCACTTATAGTGAGAGAGTGAGTATGGTTTTACGCCGCTTTTAGCAATATTCCAGCAATATCACGGCGGGGGACACCAGAAATGGGCTTCACACATTGTACCCATGTCGGGAATCGAACCCGGGTCTTCGGCGTGACGAGCGAACGCTTTAACCACTAGGCTACCCGACCGCCCGGCACTTATAGTGTGTGTGAGAGGGAGAGGGGGGGGTCTTGCTGGCTGGCTGGCTGTAGTTGTCTACACTAATCAGGGGTTGACATTGTTTATCAAAATCCAACAAATCTGCACCCATTTCGGACTAGTGGTTTATGTTAAATACATGAAGCTATATCATTTCAGAAAACAACTAATAATATTGCAGCATAAAACAATGTGCACTCATCAAAGCCTGGTTAAATTCAAGATTGTGAACATTTAGCTCCACTTCCTTGTCAACTCCAGTCAAAGGAATGCTTTTAAAGGAATGTTTATCTCATTCAATAAATACAGATATCATTTAATCAAACAAAAACCATTTCAAATATTTCATACAGGAATGCAGGATGGTTAACAACTGTTTGACGTTGCCCCATG